GGGGCCTCATATTTTTGCATATATTTGAAATCTTCCATGATTTAAAGTTTTAAAAATATATACATTTTCTAAAATATATTGCTTTACATACTTTTGAGTCCTCCCAAAACTGTGCATCATTTGGATGAGAGACTGACTGGAAGAGTCTTCCCACTGGTTTTTTCCCCCACTAAACTATACCTACTATTTATTTATTATGCTAAGCAGAGCAGACTAATAATCATATTATTTGTCATTTGCTCCTGTTATATGAAAACTTTATTGTGTAAAAAATAATTTATTAGGCAAAAAATGAGTTTTAGCCAGTAGCGAAGGAGTTTTAGCTAGGATTACACGCCTGTAATCCTAGCACTCTGGGATGCCAAGGCGGGAGGATTGCTTGAGCCCAGGAGTTTGAGACCAGTCTGGACAACATAGCAAAGCCTCATCTCTCTATAAAAATTAAAAAATTAGCCAGGTCTGGTGGTGTACATTTGTAGTCCCAGCTATTTGGGAGGCTGAGGTGGGAGAACTGCTTGAGCCCCAGAGTTTGAGGCTGCAGTGAACCATGATCATGCAACCGCACTCCAGCCTGGGGTGACAGAGTGAGACCCTGACTCAAAAACAAAAACAAAAAGAAAAGAAAAGAAGCTTCATCTTTTGTGACTGTCTATCCCAGTCTCCATTCTTCAATCTGTCAGCACTGGTTCCAGGCAGGGGTCTGGTCACAAATGCTCACGCAGCTTGGGGAGGTGATGGGAATGGCAGCGAGTGGTCAGGTGTGAGGCAGCAGGGAGCAGAAGGAGTGTGGCATACTGGAAAGCACATGCCCGATCCCCAAGGGTGGTGGCTGTACAGAATGTTTGCCATGGGGTAAGGGCCCAGTGGTACCAGAACTTTATTATTTTTCATTTTTCCTGGGGATAACTCTACATCCAGACTTGTACATGACCTTTCTTTTAACTTTTATTTGCTTAAAAATTTTATCAAAGCATTCTATATTGGAAACCAAACACTTGCTGGGTTAACCCCATGGTTCAATCTCTGATTTAGTTCTACCAACAGTAGGCCCTAAATTGAACCCTTGTGAGCTCTAGCAGACTAAACTCCCTGCTTTCTATAAGTTTCCAGTCTAGTTGGGAGGAGAGAAAACATACTTGGAAAACAACTAAAATGAGACGTGCAAATAGGAAGTGCTATAGGAATTCAAAAAAATGGGTTAATAACCCCAACTGGGACAGAAACCATGGAGAAAAACCACTGTTACCAGGTGAAGGGTATGCAGAAGAAACAAATGTTCAGGCTTGGGAAAGCAAAGCCTATCAACAGAAAACATGGCCCTTTAAGAGGGAAGTTGGTGGATCTGGGAGATCAGTGGCCCTTCAAAACCCACTCATGGAGGATATTTCTGAACAATCAGATAAAAATAGGTAGCACACGACTGAAAGTATAGCACTGAAACCCGGTGGAGAGTTTGGGGGTTCGAGCTGTAGATTTGAGCATCACCTGTGTAGAAGGGATGGTGGATGCCACCAGGTCTTTAGAGAGTGTGTTCCTCTAATGGCTGCCACCAGCAAATGGTACATTTATAAATGTAGAGATGGGTTTTGAGTCTGGCATTTGTAAAAGTACCAACCCATTATTTACTACACTAAATCATGGTTAAAATTTAAAGCAGTATCCAGTTATTTCAAAAACATTTCCTATACTGTAAAGTGGGAAGGTTTGGAATAAGAAACTAGAAGAACATAGGGAAACAGAAACCCAGTAGTTGGAAGGATACGCCTGTGGTGTTGGCTTTGTTGATGGGTTTGTGTTCTCCCTCTAATGGTGGCCTCAACCAGAGACTTTTTACTGTTGTAAAACAATATTCAAGAAATGGAGACACTTATTCAGAATAATGATGCTCCATAATACATTTGGCCAACAGCTTGTATTCTTTCTCACTGATTTGAACATTTAAAATGTAATTTATCTTAAACATGAAAACAAACAGGAGGTTTCTATGTTCCTCCCATTATGGGATCTGCTTGTCCTGGAGACCAAGCATTTCAAAGCCTGAGAACTCCCACTTACTTCATGTAAAAGGTTATCTATTTGGACATGTGTGTGTTTCATTGTGAGGAATTATACAAGCTTAAAGTAATTTATGGATCAACACGCGGTCATCTGGCTACTGAACTTTGGAGAGAAGTGAAAGCTTATTCTGAGACATGTATATAAGCCAGGTGAGTTTAGACGAGTGAGCATTTGGACTAGAGAACCAAGGCCAAGGAGAAGTTATGCCCAGAACATCCATCAAAAATAGCTCTGATTCCAAGTTCTGCACAACCCTAGCACTGTCCCATTGCACTGTTATGAAACTGTACATAGACAGCTCTCAAAAACTTCCCAAGTCTAAGAAACCAAGAAAAACACCCATGACAGCTTTCCTCCATGTCATAATGAAACTGTTCTTTTAGCAAAAATTCATAACCAAGCAAAATTCTGCTAAATAAGGTAGCTTATTTATTTGGGAGACTGTCCTTGCTGACTCTAAGACATTGGAGCTGTTAGATTTCTCACGGTCACTGACACTTTCTCCTTGTTTTAACAATGTTCTATATATATCTATAGTATTGGAGTCAATCGACTTTAAGCTACCAAAGAGGCAGAATGAATTTAATGTATTTTATGCCTTGTGAATACAAATTCAAATATTTATTCAAATATTCTCTAACCCAGGAGGATTTCTCTGGGGAGGCTTGGGGAGTATAGATTATAGCATGCTGGATATAGATGCCAGAATAGACTACAATGAGAGAGTCAAAGATTGACGTTGATGAAGTTGGCACGAGTCACTGGGTTTGACCATTTATAACAAAGATTGTACACATTGTTTATACTTATGATGACTCTGTGATACATTAAATTTTAAGGAGGAAACATATTGCCTGAAAGAAAGGGAAAGCGAGAGGGAAGAAGGGAGAACACCATTCCTAATTTTTAGATGAAATGAGTAAAGCTTCCATAGTCAGGATTTGGAAGCTCTCCAATGTCCAACAGGCTCCAGGAAACTCAGGGGATTGTCATGGTATTAGTGCCAGTCCTAGGTGCCAAAGTCAAAATAGGCCACACTGGCCATAGTCAAACCCAAGCAGGAGCGTATGTAGGTCACTTACATGTTTTGAATTTAGACAGACTGAGTTTACACAATTGTTTTACAATTAAGCTCAGGAAACACACTGAACATTCTGAATTTTTTAAAAGGTGCTAGTTTCACAATATATAAGAAAATTGCAACATCAGGATGAATGATGGCCTCAGTGGTTCGCATTATGGCCTCTGAGTGTTGGGAAGCTGGGTGGGGAATTCTATTTGTGCCAACAGTCCTCGCCTAGCCCAATGCTGGCTCTTCCCTTTAGAGAGTGTTCTGAGCTGACAGTGAGCATCAAGGTTAAACACAAGCGGTTTCTTAGCCACACTCAATAAACACTATTTTGATGCAGCGAAAAATAATAAAAATAGAAAGTACTCAGAAGCCATCAGGTTTAATCCCACAAGTGTTTCTTGAACACCTCCTATGCCCTTGGGTGGGAAGTACAGACAGTGTATAGAAAGGAAGGCAAGGAGACATCAAACACACACCAGTTTTGCCTACCACCGTCCTTGTGCCTGTTCTTTTCCCCAGAGCACACGTAGACCCTATTCCCTCCTCACTCCGGGTCACCTGTCTCTTAAAAGGCTCCCCTCTGTTTTATTCTCTGCAAACACTCCCAGCATCCCACAGGTGACAAGGGGGACACATTAATTCCAGGGGAGACTTGCACTTAGCAGGAGCTCACCTCGCCCATCAGGGAGGAACCAAATGAGCAACATCACCAATTCTGCTTTTGTTGTGCTTGCCACTGTTAAGTTCTTATTTAATGAAAGTATTTGCCTTTCCATAAATACATGTCATTTCTTACCTCTTACTTGTCATAGCCAAGGAAAGCTCCACAAGTGGTAATCAGAGAGGGAAGCTTATTTAAGACGAATCACGGTCACTGAGAACATCAGAGTAAGCAACGCCATCCTCACAATTTATGAATTTACCAATTGTTCTGCCCTCTTGTAACTTTAAAACTATTGCTTAAGTTTATTTTAATTAATAATTATTTAATTTAAAAAGTAGTGTGCTTGTGGTGGAAGAATCATGTCTATGTGTCTCTAGGATAATCACACCCTTGTTTGAATCCCTCCGGGGCTTTCTCATGACCCTTAGAATGAAACCCCAGTGCCTCACCAGGCTCTGTAGGCCCTTCCACAGCTGGGCTCTCCTTCACATCCACATTGGCTTCTAACACACCAAGTTTATTACTCCCCTCAGGGCCCTGGCCCTGCTGTCCTTCTGCCCACATGTCCTCTCCCCATCTGTTAGTGACTGGCTCTTTCTCACCATTCAGGCCTCATCACCCTCCTGTGTTCCCACTGCAAAGGTGGCCTTCTCTCATAGGACTCCCAGCCCTTATCTGCTCATATCCCTTTGTTTTATTAGTGTGGCCCTTATCCCTCGCTGAAATTGCTTTATCGATTGCTTTAAGAAAGAACAGTGTGGGTTAAATCAGTCATAACACACCATAGGGAGCTAGGAAGGAATTGTTTTCTGTCCCTCTTCTAGATTGTAACCTCTAGGAGGGCAGGAGTCTTGTCTGTTTTAGTTACACTGTATGCCCAGCATTTAGAAAAGGGCCTGGCACACAGTAGGCCCTCAGTAAATACTGTTTTAATTGAATAGAGGGTGGTTATGAGAATTAAAGAATGATTAGAATAGGGCCTGGCACGAGTAAGGAGCCAGCAGACGAAGTTTGCTGCTTCTTCCTCCCCACCTTCTTAGGGCATGTGTTGAGACTGATTCAGTCTACGCTGTTCTGTCTTAAATGTATTCACATGGCATTCAATTATGCTGAATACAGTAAATCATACCTAGGTGAGTACAAAATAGTCCCTCAAAAAGTGTCCATTCAAGTATAACTTAGATTTTTTTTACTCTAATCTTTCAGGTCATCCTTGCCGGAAGGAACCATGAATTGGCATTTTGCCTTCCTCCTCTTGGCTGCCATGACTTTGCCGTCCATCTGCTTCCAGTTCAGTCCTCTGTCTCTCGAGGAACTAGGCTCCGACATGGGGATCCAGGTTTTCAGTCAGATCATCAAGTCTCGGCCTCATGACAATATCGTTGTCTCCCCTCACGGGATCGCATCAGTCCTGGGGATGCTTCAGCTGGGGGCAGATGGCAGAACCAAGAAGCAACTCACAACGGTGATGAGATACGGCGTGAATGGTGCGTGCGCTGTGCTCACTGGTGGGGCCTTTGCCCAGAAGTCCTGGGTCAGAAGAGTTGGTGGGTTTGTTTTTGCCTACAGCCCCAAGAAGCAGAGCAGCAGGTTTAGCTGGTGCCGTCTGGGACTTAGGGTCAGTCTCTTCTAAAGGGCAGATTCTGCAGTTCTGTGAGTTAGAACTGGACTCTGTCCTTGTTCCATAGCTATGAGGTTTCGGATCAGTTGCTGGATCTCTCAGCGCTCCAGCCCTCTCATCCCTACGGGAAACACACTGAACGTTCTAAATTTTTAAAAGGTGCTTGAAGACCTCCTGTCTCACTCACCTCCATGGTGTCCAGAGCTCAACGGCACTGTGGTTGTGCACATACACTTGTAAAAACCTGTGAGGGTGTGGCTTGGGGGGGACACCACGAAGCCTTGTGTTGAGGGAACTTTCCCAGCTCTTGATTGTGGCGGTGGTCACACAAATCTGCATAGGCAGTAAAGTTGCATAGAGCTTCTCTCTCTCTCTCATAGGTATGTAAAATGAGTGAAATCACTACGTGCCCTGTGAACTATCCCCGTGGGCCAGTTTCCTGATGCAGTGAGGGACCATTTGGAGAGACTGGGTGAAGGGCACATGGGATCTTCTTGCAGATTGTTTTGCCACTTCCTGTAAATCTGCAATTATTTCAAAATAAAAAGTGGAAAAAAAAATGTTTTAAAGGAAGGCTGGATGAAAAAGGTTTTCGTTTTATTAAAAGAAAAACCTGTTGGTAACCACATGAGTTTATCTCCCGGCACTGTGCTTTGCTTTAGCTCAGGGTTCTCACCTAGAGCCATCTCCCATCTGCCTTTTTTTGCAAGTGCAGTGCCTAGGGGAGCAGGCCTGGCTCCCAAGCCCTTCCTTGCCACCAGCATGCGCCCGGATCTTGAGCAATCGCATTCACATCGAGGTCTAGTTACTTCACTGGGAAACGAGGGAGTTTCCTCGCCCGTGTTCTTCTCCTCCAGCCAGCCCTGAAGTTCTGAGAATCTTGCCTGCATTGGCACCTTTAGCTGGACAGCAGTGAGATGAGGGAAGTCGGGGTCTGTGTCCTCAGGGCCTGCTCTGCCCCCGCCTCTGACTCTGTTCTCAACGTGGCCTCCTGGGCTGCCAGGACCAAATGCCTAACCACACTGCTCTGTTGATGCAGCATTAAACTTCTGCATGAGTTTGCAGTTTGTTCACCTGTTGTAAGTGTGGAAGGACTCAGTGCTTGGAACACGCTGTTCTGACCCTTGCTTAGAAGTTCAGAAAACTCTTGGTGATTTATAACTTCATGATGAGTCACCACTAAGATTTATGGCCTTTCCTGGTATGATGCAAGCCCTGTCCGCCAATACAATTCCAAAATAGCAACTGGATTTTTGTTGGTTATTTGAATACTTTCCCGCATTCATTTGAAGTTAATGTTTCTGAAGTTTTGACAATATTGGCCTATTGGGCACACATCTCCCCATCCCCACCCCAAAAGGGGCCAGGTGCTGGCACTTGGCCCTGGAAGTGAGACTTTTAGCCTCGGAAGCCTGCTATTCCCTTACTTGTAAAATGGGCCTGCACACAGAATGGTTGTGAGGTGTGCTCGGGAGAGTTAAGAAAGAGCCGTGCACACGGTAAAGCCCTACACTCTTTCCTCTTTGTGGACCATGGGAAGACTTTGTCCTGCCCTTAGTTAAGGGGTATGAAGAAGGTGCACACTCAGAGTGACAAATTGGCTCTTTAGGAGACCGTCAGGGTGGCTCTGGCAGAATGTCTTAGGACGGGATCATTTTGGAAAGACCCCAAGTAATAAAGAAGGATCTGCGACTTGAGCTCTCTGTAGAAACACATTTCATTCTTATAACTTATTTTCCTCTTTTTCATCATTTCAAACTAAATGGAGGATGTATGAATGGCTCGTGTAAAATAAAGCTTACATTGCCATAAAGTTAATCTCCTTACTTGTTGAGTTTGATACCAAGTAAAAATCACATTGTTCTGGATGGTGGCACATGGTAACTTTTTTATAGTCTTTCTGGTGCTTATTTTATTCATTTTTTCCCAAAACAGAAAAAATAAATTGCATTGTTAAATCTTTGGCAAGAAAGGAAATAACACTTAATATTGTTAGACAAGAAAGAATGAATTAGGAAGTTCCCTTTGTTTTATTCTTGAGTGGCTATAGAACTGAGCAGCATGCCAGCGTTCATATTGACCTGGTGCCCAGAAAGGCTACTGGGAGAGTGAGGTCTACATGGAGAAGGTGGTGAGAACACCTTGAATGTGCCCGTTTTGAAGCAAAAGCACAATTGGTTTTTGAGAGCTTTAATAATGTATTTTGACTGGGCAAAGTAGCTCATGTCTGTAATCTCAGTAATTGAGAGGGCCAGGTGGGAGAATTGCATGGGCCCAGGAGCTCAAGACCAGCCTAGGCAAAATAGTGAGACCTTATCTTTACAAAAAAATGTCAAAATTAGCTGGGTGTGGTGGCATTCACCTGTTGCTCCAGCTACTTGGGAAGCTGAGGTGGAAGGATTGCTTGAGTTCAGGAGGTTGAGGCTGCAGTGAGCCAGGATTGACTACTATACTCACTCCAGCTTGGGCGACAGAGTGAGACCCTGTCTCATAAATCAATCAATCAATCAATCAAATAAATAAATAAATAAATAAGGGTCCAGGGTCCATCGGTCCCCTTGCTGGTTATGATGGGCATATAATTACTCCTTTCACAAACCCCTCCATTACAGTACTTTCCACAGTGTGTAATGATTACTCATTTACACGTGTCTCTTCTCTCATTACATGGAGGAAGTGTCTAAGGTCGGTGTTTTAAACCTATAAATTTGTGAACTGCAGGTTTAACACCACCCCCCTTTTTCTTAAGAAATAAACCCTTGAGAAAGCAGAAGACTTACTTGCCTGCTGCTTATATTTCTCCTGTGTATACTATTCTTATTTGCTAAAATATAAGAAATTTTTCAAAAACTTCTAAGTTCTTATAGAAACATGGCTGTTATTTTCTGATTTTTACTTTAGGAGTTGGTAAAGTATTAAAGAAGATTAACAAGGCCATTGTCTCCAAGAAGAATAAAGACATCGTGACAGTGGCTAATGCCGTGTTTGTTAAGAATGGCTTTAAGATGGACGTGCCATTTGTGACAAGGAACAAAGATGTGTTTCAGTGTGAAGTCCGGAACGTGAACTTTGAGGAGCCAGCCTCTGCTTCTGATTCCATCAATATGTGGGTCAAAAATGAAACCAGAGGTGAGTGGTCACAAAATGTTATGTGAATGTATACTTTGTGAATGAAGGTGTGAGTTCAACTCCAGGATTCTAACTGGCATTTGCAAATCTAGCAACCCCTCCATTGAGAAATGTCTAGACCCCAGTGAGCCCTGGTCCTTCTCTTCTTTCTTAGCGGGCTCCTGGACTTGTCTCTCTTCCTTCCCTTTTCATGCGGCACCCCCTTATTTGTCCTTTGGAGGTTTCTCTCCCTGTAGTTTGAGCAGCAGAGCAGACACAGCTTTTCCCTGGCTGTATCTCACCTCCAGAGTCATTGCCCAAAGGCTCCCGTCTGTTTTGAAGGTTGTCTCACTCATGCCCTCCTGCTTATGCATCTGCTGTTCCCTCTGCTTGAATGTCCTCATCCTTCGGGAATGATTTCTCTCTTCGTGTTCTGGCCTCTCACTTCTGCATCATCAAGTCATTGGTGCCCCTCATTGGTTATGATGGGCATATAATTACACATTTCACAACCCTCTCTTTTACAGCACTTTCCAGTGTATAATGATTACTCATGTACATGTGTCTCTTCTTTCATTACATGGAAGCAGTGGCTAAGGTCGGTGTTTTAAACCTGTAAATGTGTGAACTGGAGGTTCACTTGGAAATGTGCAGGAGGATCCATAGGTCTAGAACAACGGGGTAACGTGAAAGGTAGAAATGCAGGCTTGAAAGCTGTTTTGCACAGAAGAGAGTATAGAGTCACAAGAGTGGAAGCAAAAGAGAACCGATAGGGAGGAAAAACCTAAAGACAAAACTTCGGGAGCGTGCTTGTTAAAGTATGGTCCCTGGAGCCCCAGCATCAGAATGACCTGGGCTGTGTGTTCAGACTGAAGATCCCTGAACCCTAACCTGCTGCATCAGAATCTCTGAGGGAGGGACCAGCAACTCCCAGACTAGCTCCACCACCCGTCACCATACACAAATGTTGGAGAACCATTTGCAGAACTTGTGAGGAAGTAAGCAAGGAAGGCTCAGGGAGGGTGGAGGGACCCGGGTGCTTTGGGGAAATCGGTGGCATCTCTTCTCAACGAGGCCTGGACTGTGCAGTCTGGGATTTCTTCCTAAAACTATAAACCATCAGGAGGCCAGCAAACTTGAGGGTGTTCAGTGGTGTTTCTGGGCTACTGGTGTCTGGCAGCCTGAGAATAGGGGTCAGAAGCAGATGCGCTTAGGACTGGTTCTTGCTCCTGGCTGTGGGACTGGCAACTGTGTGACTATGCCATGCCATTGTGCCCTCTCCACCTTCTTCTTTAACTGTGGGATGGTAATATTCAACTTCATTAGTTTTCCCACTTGACTGTTTTCAAAGCACCGGAACGTGCTGGGAAGGGAGAGCGTGGATTCTTGAGTGACGCTTTTCAACCCTGTCAGACCCAGCTCCTTTATTTGAAGCAGATACATATATTTAATACTCTCTTTACTATCCTGAAATAAAAGTCATAGATCATATGCCCTATGCACACATATATAAATTTTAAAAAATTAATACAATGCCAAGCTGTAATACAAAGGAAAACAAAAGTATTTTATACGTGTAGTTCAGTAGGTAAACCGTTGGGTACAACTATACAGAAACATAGTAAAGTAGTCAGATTCTTAGAATAATTGTGAATCGACAACCATGAAAGCAGACCGAGACAGGCATGTTGTGCTGATGACACAGAAACACGAACTGTGTTACCACGGCTGACACAATTTTTTTCTAAAATGGTATAAGACTCTTAATAAATTTCCGAACAAAACAAAGTACAGGCTTCACTGGGTCTGCATGGGAGTCACGTTTCTCGCAAATTCAGCATACATTAAAAGAATGCATAAAAAAAAAGACTTTGTGTTTACGTGCAAAAAAGAGTGAGGTTCTGGGCTCGGATTATTATAGGTGGGCATCCCACCAATTTAGTTATACAGCGGGGCATTTGAAAGTCATGTGAAAAGCAGGACGGTTCTTCATTGTGTGGGCCTATTTTGAGCACTGCAAGACATGTAGCATCTCTGACCACTGCCCACTCAACCCAAAAATATGCCCACAGATTTCCAAACTGCCTCCTGGGGTGACCTGCTCAGCTAAGAGGTACTTGATCATATGATAGAATTCAGGGGGACCTTAGAACTCAACAGTGTCTGGAAGATTGCTGGGTCTATCCCATGAAGATGATAGCTCCTTCCCTGAGAGAGTAGGCGAGCCCAACACACCAGCAGTGTGCCAGGGATGGGTCTATCCTGCTGTCCTCTACAGCCCAGTTTCTCCTCCATATACTCTGTGTCCTAGCTACACAGGCCTCCTCTCAGTTCCCTTACTTACCATCCCATCTCCAGTTACCCCCACACATGTATTCCTGCTGCCTGGAATACTTTCCCTCCCTCTCCCCCTCGTGAGGGCCTACTCATTTCTCCACCACCTCATGAGTGGCATAATAGTTAAAAGCACAAGTTCTGAGTGTGAATCTTAGTTCTGCCTCATACTAGGTAGGTAACATTGGGCAAATTATTTAACCTTCTTGTGCCTCAACATTCTCATCTGTAAAGTGGAGAGATATGATAGTGGTAACTATTAGAATGATCCTGGCAACATTAAGGCTGTGGTGAGGACATAAATAAAGCAATTAGCAAAGTGCCCTGCATTTAAAAAATGTTCAACCAGTGTGAGCTATTTTTATAGCTGTTAGCGTAGATAGTACTTTGTCAAGGAACCCCTCCTTTCCAGACTTGCTGACCAGGTCAGTTCCCCTTCTTACTTGCCCTCATAGCCTTGAGTAATTCCACGTCAAGGTATTTGTTAAGATTGTAACTTGTAGCCAGGTACAATGGCTTATAACTATAATCTCAGCACTTTGGGAGGCAGAAGCAAGAGGTTTGCCTGAGCCCACAGGTTCGAGACCAGCCTGGGCAACTTGGCAAGATCTCATCTCCACAATAAATCAAAAAATTAGCTGGGCATGGTGGTGCATGCCTGAAGTTCCTGCTACTTGGAAGGCTGAGATGGAAGGATCACCTGAGCCCAGCAGGTTGAGGCTGTGCAGCACTCTAGCCTGGACAACAGAGTGAGATTCCAACTCAAAAAAAAAAAAAATCTCAGCTTATACTTTGGGGTAGGTGGGTAGGTATCCAAGGATGGATGGGTGGATGGATGATGGGTAGGTGGGTATATATCCAAGGATGGATGGGTGGGTAGGTGATAGATGCACATTTGTGGTAGTTATTAATGGCAGACTCCCATGTGACTCTTTGCCTCTGAACTGCAGATTTCTTACCTTTTTCTTTATTCTTTCTTTTTCTCTTTAATTTTTCATGCCCCTTTATTATATCTTAGTCCTACTAGTGGCAGCTGGAGACGTTGTTTATCTCTGCAAAAGAGAGCTGAGGAGATTTCTTCAGACACTGATGGACTGTATGCTGAACATAGTGCTAGGAATAAGAAACAATTAATAGCAGGGTCCTTATTCTCATGCAGCTCACAATTTAGTTGGGGAAGACAGGCACATCAAAGTTGGCTAGAATAAAACACTGTAGGTGTCATGGTGGTGCTAAGCACTGGGCTTTATGAAGACTGACAGTGGAGGCATACCCTGGAAGATGGGGAGGAGGATCAGAGAAGGTTTAGAAGTAGAGGGGACCATCGAGTTATGTTTTAAAGGCAAGTAGGGATTGGGCTGGGTAGTATTCCTAGCAGAAGCAAGAAACAGCATTCACTATTGGAGAACCAACTCTAATGAGTTTGCTGTTAGGAGAGCATAAAGTTCTAACTTATTTCCCAAAAAACAGAGCCTGTTTGCAAAAGCCAGCCTTGATCTGAATTGAATGATGATTATTTATAGCTTAGGTATTTTTCTTCTTGGTCCTGACTTAAGGTGATGCTGGTGCCACCTTGTGGAAATAATAATTAGTGATGAAACTGTCTAGGACACTGGAAATCTCCATGTGCTTATTTATCATGACTTAGACGTTTATTTATCATACACCAGAATCCTCTTGAAATTCATTTAAAATAATTTAAAGTTCTCACTGCTGAATTAGATATTCTCACTTTTTCAAAAGCTGTTGGTTTTACTTTTGCCATTTGAAGTAGTACAACTTGTATTTATATACACACACACGCACACACATATAAGTTTAGGCTAAAGAATGCAGTGAACTAAGTTTTAATAGCTTTGGGCATTAGAGATCCCTATTTTTAAAACACACACACACACACACACACACACACACACATACACACACACACACAGCCAGGAGCAGTGGCTTATACCTATAATCCCAGCAATTTGGGAGGCGGAAGTGGTGGGTTCACTCGAGGCCAGGGGTTCAAGACCAGCTTGAGCAACATAATGAGACCTCCATCTCTACATTAAATAAATAAAGCACACCCAGTTACACAGCTGAATCTTCAAGAACCAAGTGAAAGGAACCTAAATGGAAAACTAAAGCTTCAACCACACATAGCATCTCAGAAGGATTTTTGTGAGAGCATCCTGAAATGAGAAAAGTTGTGTTTGTTCCTTCACTCCTGACACAAATAAGATGAACCATCCCAACATCTTTCAAAGAGCATCTTTCTTCAGAATTAGGAGTTCTTCAGGAACAGACCCCATTTAAAAAAAATTTATTTTTAATTGATACATAATAATTGTACATATTATGGAGTATAGTGTGATGTTTTAATATATGTGTACTATGTGTAATGATCAAATAGGATACTGTATCACACTTCCAGACTTTGAACTTTACTATAAGGCTAAAAAAAGTAAATAAATAAAGGCTACTTAGCATATTCATTATCTCAAACATTTATCATTTCTTTGTGGTGATAACATTCAAAATCCTCTCTTCTAATCTCTCTCTCTTTTTTTTTTTCAGAGTTGAAGTCTTGCCAAGTTGCCCAGGCTGGTCTCAAACCTGCGGGCTCAGGCAATCCTCTCACCTCGGCTTCCCAAAGTGCTGGGATTATAGGCATGAGCCATGGTGCCTGGCCATCTTCTAATTTCGATGATACTAGCACCTGGCTTGAAGCCTGACCCATAAATATAGACACTAAGTTTTAGTTTCAGTTCTTCTTTAAGTAGTTGTAGAGTCATGCGATATTCAGGGATTCAAAAGTAATCCTCAACATTGCTAGAATTAAGAAAAGTTAAGCATTTGCCTTGATAACATTGTACAAGCTGAAGTGTTTATTTTTGACTGAGATTAAATCAACCTAGTAGTTCAAAACAAAACAAAACTATTTATCTTGTACTGGCCAAATCCTTCATTGCCAGTCACTTAGTAGCTTTATCTATATATATTAGAAAGAGAGAGGGAGAGAGAGGAATGATTAATTAAGTATAGCTTATTTGAATGAGTAAAACTTTTTAAAGGAAATTAGTAATAAAAGAATTTATTGATGAAAAGTTGGGTTACCCCTAACTAGGAATCTCTAAAGTCTTTTCCAGTTCTCTGATATTTAACTTGTTTTTAACTTTAATTTCTAGTGAGAAACATATAAAAAGGGTATGTTGAAAATGTAGAAAAATGTTAAAATATTGTGTTAAAAATAATTTTAAAGTATTGTATTAAAAATTTCGTATTAAAATCCTTTGATTTTTCCATTCTACTGGGTCAACTGCTCTCAAATTGGTCACCCAATCCTGAGGTGTTTTTTTTTCCTTGCTTGTTCTTTGACTTCACAGGTATGATTGACAGCCTGCTGTCCCCAGATGTTATTGATGGAGTGCTCACCAGGCTGGTCCTTGTCAATGCAGTGTATTTTAAGGGTTTGTGGAAGTCACGGTTTCAACCTGAGAACACAAAGAAGCGTACCTTTGTGGCCTCTGATGGGAAGTCCTATCAAGTGCCGATGCTGGCCCAGCTCTCTGTGTTCCGATGTGGTAAGTTCATGCTTGGCAAAGCCTGTTCTAGAATGTGCTGGCAGCAGAAAGACTCTTGAGGGCTTTAATGTAACTTAAAAACAAATCTGACTTTTTGTTTTTTTAAAAAGTAGGTAACAGGAAGGGCTCTGGGAGGTAGGATATTTAAAAAACTCATGGTAAGTGTGTTATGTACAAAGGTTATATATTAATATGTAGCATATGTAAGCTTTTTGGTTATAAACTTAAGGATGGAAGGACAGTCAAGAAATAAGTATAAATGAGCATTAAACATATAAAAATGCCATCAATTCATAATTAACAATCTTATATTACCAAATGAAAAATAAAAGTGAAAATTAGATTTATTTTCATTTGTCAGCTAAGCAAAAATTAGAAAGATTGATAAAGCCCCTTGATGGCTCCCGCCTGGGGGAACAGGCCCCTCTAGCCCTGCTGGTGGCAGGGGTCTGTGGTCAGAGGACATCCCCAGAGTCCTGGCCCCAGCAGACCCACTCCAGGGAATTTATACTCTGAAGATAAGCTCACACTGGCAAGCAAATAGAAGCCAAATACAGATATGTAATGGAACACATGATCATTAGATTTAGAATTACATAAGTGGAAAGATTATACAATATATGATTGATTTCAAAAACCAAGTTATAGAAGAGCAGATGCCGATTAATCTCATTTATGTAAAATGCTTTCCTTCTAGTCACACATCTATAGAGATAGGTCTTGGAGAATGTACAGAAAAATGTTAATAGATGTAGGATTTCAGATAAATTGTTTTTCTTTATTTGAATTTGAAAAAGATTTTAATGAGCATGTATCAGTTTTATAGTCAGGGGGGAAAATGACCAATCTCTGCCATTATTACCACAGTACAGGTAGCCAAGTCTTGTGATTACTTTTTTAAATCTAGCTTCATTTGAAGCATTCTTGGCCAATTATGTTAAACAATCCTTTTTTCCCTTATATGTTAGTCTTCATGTCTTCAGTCTATATCTAGATATTTGGGTCCTAAATATTACCTTTGCATATTCAGTATGTATCTAAACAGAGTTGAACACTTCACCAGCCATCTGATTCTTGAAATGAAGGAATGACTCATGGGGGGGACATAATAGACACAGTCACTTTCCGTCATCCATCAAGCTTCCGGGAAAAATGTCAACAAATGTTCTTTAAAAGATAATATGTACCTTAAAGCCCTATGGAACAGTATTGTCCTAAGCAACTGAGAATGGCAAAGACCTCTTTTTTCCTGAAAGTCATTCCCACTTCCAGTCTCATCTTGACCCTCCCCTCTCACTGAAACACTAGCATGGCCGCCAGCTCATATCCAAGGCAAAGTGATTTTATTGTAAGTCAATCTTTTGTACATACTCTACAATCTATAAAAAATAAAAGGTAGCTTCGTTTACTGTATATTTCTCTTGCTGAAAAAAATAACAAATTACTAGTTCAAGATTAAAATGCAGGAATTCTACAGACATTTCTATGGAAGATTAAAAGGTTGTTTTTTTATGGGAGAATAACATGCTTTAGTAGATAACATGTCTCCAGAGAGGGTTACATCTCAGGGCAGCTTTTCAATTAAAAACTGATTTGTCTAGAAATATATGTGTGTGTTTACAGAAATTAACATACAAATACATTCTTATTGTCAAAGATTCAGGCTGTACCTCCACCTTCCCTGGTTCACGCCTCCCTTCTCTACCCACTTCTTCCCTGCTCTGAGCTCCCAGTAGACTAAATTAGTGGGATCCTTAGCCCTCTGGCTTCTTATTGGGTTGACTAGTGAGAACCAACAGGCAATAGGGCTGAGGTAGGAGAGAGGGCTTGAGGCATTGACTTTCTAGCTCTCTCCTTACAGAGTCACTAGAGCAGCTGTGTCCTATCAGGGGGCAGACCCAAGAACTGAATCACCACTCCTTCCCTCCCCAGCAGCCTCAGCCCAAGGCTGGTAATGGTACCCACTGTTTGTAAGCCCAAGGTACTGTCCATAGCATCTCTCTGTACTCTACCCATGCTTTATAAGTAGTTCTTCCCAATTTGGTGTGTTATCTGTTTCCTGTCCACCCTGAATGGGGTATGTACTGAAATCAGAACAGAATAGGAAAGTTTCCTGCTCAATGTTGTTCTCATTCCCTCTCAGGTAGAAACTGCGAACAGCTTGATGTCTCTTCTTACCTTCCTTTCTATGCCTGTCATCAGGTTTGACTGAGTAACTGGAATTGGGCCCATCTCCTGTCGTGTGGCAAATCATAAAGGTGTCATATGTTCCCGGGTTTCTTGCTTTGGCCAACAAAGCGGCTTATTGTCATGCGACAAGGCAGGTTTGTCTTGATGGGGCTGTGGAAAAAGCACAGCAGTGTGAGGTGGCCCCGAGGACATGTGTTTATGACCACAGACTGCTCAGCTCGCTGGCCTTTTCTGCCTGTTCCTCACACTCTGCTCAACACTGGCAGCCAGGGCTCTGGTTGCTCCAGCTAGACTCACACGGCCTGTGAGTACCACCTGTCAAATGCTTCCTGGCCTCAGCCAAGCCTCACTATTCTTAGTCACTATGCCAAAACATTGTCATTCAGTTTATGTGTCTTCTTGACTCACTTCCCCAGGATGTCATCAAGGTCTCTGAAAAGATTCACTTGGTAACGTTAAGGCGAGGGCAGAAAAGAGAAGAGGAGGAGAAAACCCTTCTGACTTATAGCCTATGAAGTAGAAGCACTTCAAGGATAGAAACTTCTCTATTTAAAAAAAAGCCTTAAAACCATTTTAATCAAAGTGTATTTCATACTCATTGCAAGATATTCAAATATGCAGTATAAAAGGCAGAAAGTAATATTCCCCTCAAATCTTATTTCCCAGGATAAAAACCACTATTAAATGCCGGGTATATTATTTGAGATTCTTTCTATGGATATGTAATTTATATCTATGAAATTTATTTGCATAATAGGATTATATGTAATTTCTATTCTATCGTCTGCTTTATTCGTTAGACAGTGTATCTTTTTTTTTTTTTTTTGAGTAGGAGTCTCACTCTGCCACCCAGGCTGGAGTGCAGTGGCACACTCACAGCCACCACAGCCTCAACCTGCTGGGCTGAGGTGATCCTTCTGCCTCAGCCTTCCAAGTAGCTGGAACCACAGGTGTACATCACCAGGCCCGTCTAATTTTTTAAATTTATTGTAAGATGAGGTCTTGCCAAGTTGCCCAGGCTGGCCTCAAACGCCTGGATTCAGGCAATCCTTTTGCCTTTACCTCTCAAAGTGCTGGGATTACAGGCGTGAGCCACTGCTCCCAGCCATGGAAAACCTTCTATGTCAATTTGTGAGAATTACTTGATCCTTTTATCTGCTCCATAATACTTCATGGTGTAAATTTGTCATAATATCTTATGGATGGTCATTTACTTTTTTTCCTATATAAACAACACTGCAATGAGCATTCTTGTACATAAATCCTTCAGTACTTCTAAAAGTAATTTCCTTGAATAAGAATTGCCAAGTTAAAAATGTTATAATTTTTTTGTTTTTATGGTTATGAATTTAGACATTTGGGACTTTACTTTGAAAAAAAGACCACATAGAATAACCAAATGTGTAATTCCAGCTTCCTTTCCTCTCTGAGGTTCCAACTCATACCTGTCTGCCCATATTACATCTCGACTTGGTCACCTCCTAAATCCTAGTCGCATTGACTAGACATGTTATTGCTCTTGCCTGTCTAGTTCTTCCCCACAGTTCTTTAGCAGCAAATGGCACCAATACTCCCCAGGTGCTTAAGCCATACCTCCTTTCCCAACAATTCCCTTTGGAATCCAGCCTAGCATGTAGATAACTACAGGCAGTGGATCTATTTGTTGTTGCTTTTCCAAAATATATATTCTAACTTCTACCAAAGTAGAGTCTGAACAGTTCCTTAGGGGCTCAGGAAATGTACAAAGTTACTTGTAGAGGAAGGTAATTACAAGGACTTTCATCTATGAAACTTTCCTGATATTAAATATTTAAAATATTCTCTTTGATTTTATAGGCTGAGCAGAGTTCTTAACATTTCAGCAAGCCTGGTTAAGTTCTCCCTAGTAGGACCTGAAGTGGGAATCAGAGTACTTTTGGGCATTTTCTGGAGAAACTGAGTTACCACTAATAGAAAATTCGATATCGTCTCTGTGTTTTTTAATACTGGATTCTCTATCTGTTATTTCTCATTAAAAGTTTTACTGACCACCATTCATCTAAGAGAAAGACTTCTCCATTCCTTTTCAGAATGAATGAACCTGCTTTACATTGCCAATATTATTCTTGTTAAAGAATACTCGGTCTACTTTCCAGAGGTTAAAGAATAGAGCAGTTTATGGCCAGGCACAGTGACTCATGCCTATAATCCCAGCACTTTGAGAGGCAGAGGTGAGAGGGATTGCCTGAGCTCAGGGGTTTGAGACTAGCCTGAGCAACATGGTGAGACCTTGTCTCTACAGTAAATAAAAAAATTAGCCAGGCGTGGTGGTACACGCCCGTAGTTCCAGCTACTCGGAAGGCTGAGGCGGAAGGATCATCTGAGCCCAGCAAGTCAAGGCTGCAGTGACTGTGAGCAGCATGCCACTGCATTCCAGCCTGGGCAACAGAGTGAGACTCCGATTCAAAAGAAAAATAAAAAGAAGAGAGTAGTTTAAACTGCTCTATTAGAAACTGTGGGGTAGAGCATTTTAAAGGAAAGAACTCTAGGGCAACAAGAGACTCCATGCTCTGACACAGGGCTCCCTAATACTCTTTCCTTGCTTGATCGTTCTGCCCAGAGTTGTCGTGCTCCAGTGAAGTAAGTGTGGTTTCCCTTGCTCGGTCAATTTTGTGTTTAGATCATGATCAGGGACCTCACATTTGTGCTATTGTCAAAGTTTCTTACCTCAATAGATGGTAGCATGCACTGAACTGTGCTGAGCACTTCATATGTGTCCTCTCATTGAGCTTTCACAGTTCTGCAAGGTAGGTGCTGTTATTATAGCATCTAACAGATAGAGAAACTAAGATTTGGAATTAAGGAATTTGACAGAGTTCCATGGATAATGTGCTGCAGGCGTAGGATTTGAATACAGGTCTGCTAGCTCCAGATCTCATGTCCTTAGCTTCAGCACGTGTCCTCTATAAAAGGATGCTGTGACAGCAGTATTTTAGTGATCACATGGAATGAGGGGGAAGGTGTTATTTTTCTCTCTCAGCTCCACAAAACACCAAATAAAAATAAGCACAAGTTTGTCCAGATACATCTGGCCCCTGTTGGTCATCAGTTTCTGTGGTCAGAAGCAGAAGTGGAGCCTGGGGGAAAATCAGTCATCAATCAGATGTGAGTCACTGGATGCAAAATGGTTCACAGTTATTAGTATTACTGACCAGTTAATGATGTAGCCAGTCGAGGATGGATTAACTAGTATCTCCTACCACTGAACATACCCAGCTCATAATTTTTCATTATTCATTACCTCGATTCCTATCAGAATAGTAAACATTTCTAGAAGCAGTTAAGGCCTTCAGATCTTTATTTCATGCCCTGGAGCAATCATTTATTAACTACTTCCCAAATTACACAGTTTCTAAAAATTAGCTCTGCCGGACTAAGGACTTAGTGTTTTCTTCAAGGATTAAAGGGCTCATTAGGAAGTGATTTTTTTTTTTCACATTCCCATTGATTTTTTTAGTTTCTGCTGAGATCATTTTGTTACACAGTCTAAAAGTAAAGATGAAGAAACCTGCCTTTGATTCTTAGATAGCCCCAAGCCAGAAACTAGGCTAGAGTGAGAGTTTCACATGCATCCCAAGTAAGGCAGGCCGCACTGGGGTTACTGAACAGTCTTTCAGGAGAATGAACATGGTGAGACCAGGTGAGCCTAAGCATCTCCACCAGCTACCTATGTACTTATTCCTTCAGGAGAAACCGTGCGTCATCCTGTAGTATTCTGTATACTAATAGGTTCACAATTTTTTAAATCATATTTTATGGCTAAAGTATTTGTTATGTAACAAATTTCATACTCTTTCTCCCTTGCTGTGGTTCTTTCTTTCCCTCCTAACCCCTCTATGGAGAACGGGCATATTGAAGCCCCTGGTCTCAAATGCAGTGATAGGCAAAGGTCATCCCCAAGGAAAAAATCAGTGAAAATCATGAAAGAAGTTCTTAACTATGTTGTCCTTCTAGATTACTTAGAGGAGGCAGAGGGGCCAACATTCACTGAGCACCAATCACGGGCCAGACCCTGCTAAGTACCCTGTATATTCTTGTCTAATCAACACAGCAATCCTGTGAATTACATACTTTCGTATTCAACATCTTCATTCTATATACAAGGAGGCCCAGGTGACTACAGTCAGAGAATTCTTGAAACATTCGAAGTGTTTAATAAAACATTTCAAAAATCTATCATAAATTGGGTAATGCTGGTTTTCTCTTCACCTCGTAATTTTTATAAATATTTCCATTATATGCCTAATTTATAAGTTTCATAGGATCTTAAGGCTATGGAATACTCTTCATAGCACTGGTACATATTGTGAGTCTGTAAGAAGAATCCAGTGTCCAGTGCTTGCTAAACTCACTCACCAGAATGTGGGCTCTGTTTTGTCAATAGAGCATCTTGCAGGTAGAATGTTCTCCAGACATTTTGATAATGGCTGGTTGAAATCATTCTTGGGTCTTCATTAGTAAGCAGAAGTATCATAAAATATAAAGGGTAGTTACTGCAATGGGTAAAGAGTGATTGGAGGTCAGTGTGGTGAAGTAGGAGGAAGATAATCTTTGGTATTAGACTCTCCTGGCTCTCGAGCTCTTAGCCACATGCCCATTGGCAGGTTACTTAATTTCTCTAATTACAACCTCCTCAGCTGCAAAAATCGATGGGTTATCCCCACCCCAACAGATCCTAAGTCTGTTGAAGTGATTATTATGGACCTGGCACAGAGTGGACCTAATGGACAGTGTTTATCCCCTCCCTTCTCTTCATATGTGCATGTAAGCTCATCCAAAAAGAGGACTATAGGTAATAAAATTATACCATATTTGGGATTCCTGCTAAAGAAATAGATTTAGCTGCTCCTGTCACAAAACAACCACAAAATGGTTAACTCCTTGATATGCTAGATATGTTCATTTGCTTCACTATAGTAACTATTTCACTATATGTATACCATGTCATCATCTTGTATACCTTAATATACACAATGCAGTCTATTTTTAAATTCAATTTTAAAAAAGAATACTCATAAGGAAGCTTGAATTCATTGCTTTATTCACGTAGTAAGGGTCATCTTGTTGCAAAGTACTGAATCCTAAGTACTTTATGATCTAGTTAAATTCTCAACAAAATTTAAAAAGTTTTAGTGATGCCCTAAGACATTCTGTCTAGACTGAAGAAAGAGCATTCTTCACAAGAGAAGGAAAAAATGATTGTCCTTAACTTTGTTCTTCTAAGGAAAGCTCTTCAACTGAATTGTTCTCTTCCGCCTGAAGCTACCCCAGTGACCAGCAAGCACTCATGCCACTTCTCAAAGTCATCAGGGATACACTAAACCTGCCTCTGATTTCTTTAGGGTCGACAAGCACACCCAATGACTTATGGTACAACTTCATTGAACTGCCCTACCACGGGGAAAGCATCAGCATGTTGATTGCGTTGCCAACTGAGAGTTCCACCCCACTGTCGGCGATCGTTCCTCACATCAGCACTAAGACCATTGAGAGCTGGATGAGCATCATGGTGCCCAAGAGGGTGCAGGTGATCCTGCCCAAGTAAGTTGGCCTCTTCCTTAAAAGAAAACAATGGGATTGTACAGTCAGTAGCTGTTGAGTTGGATACCAGACAACCTGAGGGAAAAATGTGGTACAATGTGAAGCCTGTTTTATTTTGCAGAAATTGCAGGCTGTGCTAAAAGCTTTTTTCTGTTTTCTTTTTTGAGTTGAGAGTCTCACTGTGTCGCCCAGGCTGGAGTGCAGTGGCACGCTCACAGCCACCGCAGCCTCGACTGTGGGCTCAGGCGATCCTTCCACCTCAGCCTTCCAAGTAGTTGGAACTACAGGCACATACCATCACACCTGGTTAATAAAAGCTTTTTAAAAAATGCTTGTGCCTTGTGTGTGCTAAGATAATGGTCATAAGAGAGGAGAGAAGGCAGCCTTGACTTCTGAACCTCCACATGAGCACAAGCTCTTCACAACACTGAAAAGGATTTTAACATAACTCATTCTGTTCAAAAGCCTGGAAACACATGCATATCATTATTTAGTATGGCTGAAATTACAATAGAGTTTAATAGAGCTCGATGTGTTTTGATAAGGAGCTTCATTTTAGATATTTCTTAAGTTTTAGCTAAAAGTTGCTGAAGACCAGGGCCCAAAAGCTAGGTGGTAAAGAAATATCTTAAAATCACCCAAGAAGAATTCTTACATTATTATCTAAGACAGTTTTTCTATTATACTGTAAAAGTAAAATAAAGATGGAATGTAAACTGTTATGACTTGAAGCCATTAAAAAGTAATCCCAAGTTCTGTATGAATCCTAAATTTCTAACAGGTTAGAGAATGTTTTGTCCTGACCTGTGAGGGAGGCAATGAATGTTGTCTGTTTCTTTCTCACAAACTTTTCAACACAACTGTTCTTCCCTGTCCAGGGCTTTTAACAGCTCAGGTCTCGATGGTAGTGGAGAGTTCTAGTAGCTTTTGCTTCTTCAGTCACTGAGTTAAGTGATCAGAGTAATACTTTCATAATAAGGGTTAGTCATCCTTTCAAGATTATTATTTTTGGGGGGGTAAAACAAGTCATCAAGTAGGCAATATGTGATATAAATGACAAGGTAGTGGCCTCGTAGGCCTCCGTGGGTGAAGAACAGGTAAATTACCTTTATAACCCATCTGTGATGAGAACCTGCTGTCCTCTCCTTGTTGCTCTTTCACAGGATGAGCTCAAATCTGGTAAAGCATCCTCTGATGATAGGTTAAATAATGAACATTTACATATGTATAGTCCTCAAGGCCAGGTAGGCCAAAGATGTGGGTTTCTTGGATGAAACCCATATTATACTCACATATGATACCATGTCACCTATTCCTAAGGATGTTGGTTTTTACAACCGCCAGGATGGATATGGAGAAGAACTTTAGATGAATATGGGAAGAACTATAAATGGTCCAGGGTACCAGGAACTTGTTGCTATTCTGAACTTCCACGTCAGTGTAAGAGAAAGTGCTTTTGTAGATCTTCTAAGTGTTGGAACAGGGAGCCTGCTGCACACGAGGGTGACAGTGCCCATACTTGCTGTTAGTATGTACTGCTCATTTTGCCCACTAAGTGTTTGAGAGAAGAACTGTTCTCTGTTTACCTGGTATTTAAATTTGGGGATTAAAAATTAAGATACTATTCAGATTGATGTTCAGATCTTACATAAATAAAGAATCTGTTTGTAAACATGTGCTGATTAGGAGCAGTATATATTTGTATCAGTATAACCTTGTGATTCTTCCCCCATTTTCTGCTTTCATGCTAGGTTCACAGCCGAAGCACAAACAGATTTGAAGGAGCCGCTGAAAGTTCTTGGCATTACTGAAATGTTTGATTCATCAAAGGCAAATTTTGCAAAAATAACAAGTATGTTCAATTTAAAACTTAGTTTTATGCTTGAAGAAACTGTTACAAGTGGAGTTTCTGATGGGTTCAGAGACAAAGGATCAGAATTAGGAACACGTTACCCTAAAACTGCCCAAAGTTTGATTTGAAATATCACCAAATGATGTTATTGACCTTCATCATTTAAATCAGAATATGTCATTCATTCCTACATTTCATGTGATTACACAGGTAAAGAAGCATTTTATGTATTGCCTTATAAGTTCAGCTCCTAATCAGATATTAGTCTTTGTTTTAGATTTTTTTTTTCTTTTTGTTTGTTTAATTAATTAATTTGAGTCAGTGTCTCTGTCTCCCAGGCTAGAGTATAGTGGCACAATCATGGCTTATCACAGCCTTCACCTCCTGGGCTCAGGCGATACTTCCACCTCAGCCTCCCAAGTAGCTGGGATTACAGGTGTGTGCTACTATGCCCAGCTAATTTTTTTTTTTCAATTTCAATAGCTCTGGGGAAAAGATCAAGATTTTGGGGCTCTCAAATACTTCCATCAAGCAATTGTAGGCATGCACTATATCCAGATACGTATTTTGGTATTTCATGCCTATTAATCTGAAATAATATAAATTCAGTTGAATCTAATTAAAACTTTTTTTTTTGCCAAAGCAACTAAGACATACTCATTATCATGTCCTTTCATTTGCCAGCATATATACTTTTTTCTAGAGTTATGCTTGAATGGTCAGTTCTTTGCCATTTAAATTTAGAATATAACAATCTCCTTACAAAAAACAGTCATAGCTTGAACATTATTTGCACTCCAGTTTGGATTTTTCCCCTTGAGTGGTAAGAAATTACCAGTCTCAATTGTGCACTGGTAAACACCTGGGTACCTGTTCTGGAGACAAATATCACTTCCCTGGTGAGATTGCAGTTCTGTGGATATTCTGATATCTTTAATCCCTTGTGACCCAAACTCTGATGCCCAAGCCAGCAGCATTAGCACCACCTGGGAGCTGTCATAAAGTGTATAGTCTTGGGTCTACCCCAGATCTACTGAATCAGAATCTTCATTTATTTATTTATTTTTTTGAGTTGGAGTCTCACTCTATTGCCCAGACTGGAGTGCAGTGGCACGCTCATGACCACCACAGCCTCGACCTGCTGGGCTCAGGTGATCCTTTCATCTCAACCTCCCAAGTAGCTGGGACTACAGGCATGCGCCACCACGCCGACTAATTTTTTGATTTATTGTAGAGATGAGGTCTCGCCGAGTTGCCCAGGCTGGTCTCAACCCCCTGGGCTCAGGCAGTGCTCTTGCCTTAGCCTCCCAAAGTGCTAGGATTACAGGCATGAGCCACCGTGCCTGACTCAGAATCTTCATTTTAAGACGATTCCTTAACCCAATAATGAGAGGCACTGTTTAACCTGCATTTTCCTCTTCAGGGTTATCCACTAAAGACTAAACACTAAACAGGGGATGTTCACAGAGAGAACTAAGTGCCCCAAATTCTCTGAAAAGTGCTCTTTAACCCTGAAATCACTTGGGCCTCAAAAACGTGCATCTTGGTCATAATTGGTCATATTCGAGCTGGGTAGTGGTGCAGACAGTTCAAAACCCAAAGACACAAAAAGCACATTTCCCTTTTGCATCCAGACCTATGTCCCATCCAGGCTAACATCAACTTCAGTTGGCAGTCTCTTTGAAAGTTACACCTAGTGGGTATCGCTGGACCGGTCAAGATTTTCTGAGAAGAAAAGTGAGGTCCCCAAGGCACAACTGCATTTCTGCCTCTGACCCTCAAAGAGTCTAAATCCTTCTGATACTTGACATTTTTCTCTTGCTAACGTGTTCATGAGATGAGTGGTTGTTGTGAAAATCTAGCACGCACTTTGCCACTAACGAGCCATATGATTTGGAAGAAGATTTCTTAACACTCTGGGCCTCCATTTTTCCATCTGAAACACTGTCTGAAATCCTTTCTGGGTCTCCATTCTATAACTGAAAAATAATATTGTTATCTTGCTTCTTCTGGAATTTTATTTAAAATTGTAGTGATCAGTGTTGAATCCATAGGGGTACTATAGCATTAGGGTCGTGGGAGGTGGGGGGAGGGGCAAGGGTTCAGAAGTTACCTATTGAATTGGGTAACAGTATTCACTATTTGGGGAATGGGACCACCAGAAGCCCAGTCCCCACCAGTATGCAACATGCCCATTAACAAACATGCATTTGTATACCCATGAATCCAAAAGATAAAAAGTTGAATTAAAAAAAAAAAAAAGCATTTGGGGCCTGGACCTCTTCCCCTGGAAGTATCACAGTTCACTTAGCAGGGACTGAAATTCACAAGTGACAGCTGTCTGCAGCCTTCAATCACAGGAACTGTCCGAAGCCATGTCTCCTGACACTTTTTAAGAATTGGAATTTACGTTGGCTTTACTTCCCCAAGCAAAGGATGGCCAATGTATCAAGCAAATGCTGATTTCCTTTTATTTTTCGGAAACAGAGTCAGAAAACCTGCACGTTTCTCACATCTTGCAAAAAGCAAAAATCGAAGTCAGTGAAGATGGAACCAAAGCTTCAGCAGCAACAAGTAAGCACTGGGGCCCCTGGCAGGGAGGCAAGCATGCTGTGTTCATTCACCAGTTCAGCAACTATGTAATGAGCCCTGTTTCCACACGGGTAGCACAGGTTGACTCTCAGGAGACAGCAGTGAGCACAAACAGATCAAGAACCTGATTCACAAAGCTAAGAATCTGTTTCATTAAAGAAAAGCATTTTGGTAAAAAGAGATTGCTCTAGGACTGGAGTTAGTAAACTTCTTTAAAGAGCCAGATAGTATGTATTTCAGCTTTGTGGGCCACATTGTTTCCATCAAAACTCCTTAACTCTGCCTTTGTAGCCTTAAGGCAGACTTAGACAAAAACAAGTGGCTGTGTTCCAATAAAACTTTATTTATAAAAACAAGAGTTGGCTGGCCCTGTAGACTTGGCTTGAGGACAATAGTTTGCTGACCCCTACTCTCAGGAGGATAAAGTCCAGTCTGGCTTCTTATAGGCAGAAAAGACCAGTCTTCAAATTGAAACAAAATAGCTGCAAATACTTATAGGAAAATAGCCAATCAGATCTATCCATGACAAAGGGAAGAATTAGCAGGCATCTATTGAATTGTAGCAGGACTGCTATGCAGCCTTCCTTGATAATTAGAACATCCACATCTGCTTACTCCTCAGTGGCTTATATAATGAAGGAGAAAATAGAACAATCTTAAGTTGGTTCTCCCCCACCACCCCGAATTATCCATATGAGACTGGATAAATGAGATCTGGCCAAACTCTGTAAGCTCATAAAGTGAAAATCTTAGTTGTACTTGCAGCTGGTTCAAATATCTCTGGTCATTAAAAGGTACCATTTTACACTCACAATAGAGGCTTTATTGCCTTTCTTGAATAAATGGGTTTTTTATTCCTTTAAAATAGCATTGAAAATAAAGGCCCTAAAATAAGATAGTTGGAATTTTTAAGATAGTCTTTGTCTTTTGTAAATAATATAACATAAGTGCCACTGTTATTGATCAATTTTATCGACTAGCATAACTATCAGGACCATAATTTGTAGGGTCCTGTGCAAAATGAAAGTAAGGATCCCCTTGTTCAAAATTTATTAAGAATGTCAAGATAGCAACAGGAGAGTACTAGCCAAGTGCAGGGCCCTATGTAACTATCCATGTTCTACTGCTGTCTTAGTCTACTTTTTGCCACTACAACAAAATACCATAGGCTGGGTGTCTTAAACAACAGAACTCGCAGTTCTGGCAGCTGGAAGTCCAAGATCAAAGTGTTGGTCTCTCTCCTTAGCTCGCAGATGAATCTCCTCATGTGTCCTCACATGGTCTTTTCTCTGTATGTGCATGTCCCTGCTGTCTCTCCCCTTTCTAATAAACACAACAGTCCTATTGGAGTAGGATCCTACCCTTACAACCTCATTTAATCTTAATCACCTCCTTAAAGGCATTATTTCCAAATATAGGTACATTAAGGGGTTGGGGCTTCAACATGTGAATTTGGGGGAACTCAGTTCAGTCCATAACACCTATTTGTTTTTAGGAACCCTGGGTGGAGGGGTTTGCCCAGCATAACTGCAGGTGTTTCTTTTATAACATCAAGCCAAAGTTGTCAACACTTCCCAAAGGCTGAGGAGGATCGAGTCATTACAGCAGGTATATGGTGGCTATGCCACACACCTGCCCTCCTTCCAGGCCTCAGCTCAATCTTATTCCGTGGAAGCTTCCATTGGTAAGCATGGCAGAGGAGGAATGGCTGAGACCCAGGAGCCTAAAGAAATTTCCCTTCCAAGTCAGACGTCTACACCTGATTAGTTGAACAGTAATATGAGGTAGCTGTTCAGAGATGAACCGTCTATGTTGCCAGTACAAAGGAAACCTAAGTGATATGCCAAAGATGAAGGCACCGACAAAAAAAAAAGCTAATAATGGAGTGAGATCTTGATATATGGAAAGCATTTAAATAGACTAAACAGGACTAGGAAGCTTCATCAGCAAAGCAGATGGCGTGAATTAAAAATAGCTAATAATAACAGTGAATATGCGTTGGGTGTTTGTTTAGTGACAAACACTGTTCTAAGAGCTATAATATGTTTTATGTCATTTAATCCTCATCAAAACTCTGTGGGGAGTAAGAATGCTTATCAGAGAAGATGGTGCTTGTGTAGAATAAATGAGACACCAATGTAAAGGGCCCAGCCCACAGGAGGTGCTCAATAAATGGTGACCATGGAGCCTATGGGACAGGCAATCCCTGTGTCTGATACTGGTCCCTCAATCACCAGTATCTGAGGGTCTATCAGGCTAACTACCCTGGGGGCTTCAGGCTGGTTGTATAACACATTTTCCTTTTCTTCTCATAGCTGCAATTCTAATTGCAAGGTCATCGCCTCCCTGGTTTATAGTAGACAGAGCTTTTCTATTTTTCATCCGACATAACCCTACAGGTAAGTGCTTCCCTCTTCCATTGTTCACTCATTAGAATTCAGAAAGGTATACTGCACTCTTAGTTATATCCCACTGTGTTGCTCTTAATGTTTCCCTTGTATCAGCACCTGCAAGCACTTTGAATAATATGACCTCCCACATTAAAGAGACAGGAAATCAAGACTGCGTTTAGAGAACGTGATGGAATTTTTTTTTTTTTTTTAAGTTACAGTCTCACTCTGTCACCCAGGCTGGAGTGCAGTGGCACACTCACGATCACCACAGCCTTGATTTGCTGGGCTCAGGTGATCCTTCTGCCTCAGCCTTTCAAGAAGCTGGAACTATAGGTGCGCACTACCATGCCCAGCTTATTTTTTGACTTATTGTAGAGATGAGGTCTCGCCAACTTGCCCAGGCTGGTCTTAAACCTCTGTGCTTAGGCAATCCTCTCACTGCGGCCTCCCCAAGTGCTGGGATTACAGGCTTGAATCATTGCACCTGGCTCATGATGGAATCTTTTAAACAGTGACAGGATTTTAGATTTTTGGGGTTGCTGTTGTTGATCTTAATCTTGGCATCCTCTGGGCACTTTTGATAGCTATTGACTTTTTCAAAATTATATAAATGAAATAGATAAATTTTGCCAGAAGCTACATGTCTTCAACCTATGTAAGCCCACTCTACTGTTATGCTCCAGGAGCTAAGTCAGTAGATTTTAGCTCTGTGAGTCATGGATTCAAATTTGGCTCTAGTCTTGAACTTCATCTTTAAAATAAAGATAACAATAGTCCTGACTTCTTAGTACAGCTATGAAGTATGAGATTCTTTGTGGAGAGGTTGGCTTCATCTTGGTACAGAGTAGGCAATAATACATGTTAGCTTTTACTACTTGATTTAATCAGTAATGTAAGATAGTTCCTTATCCTTTTATCTCATTGCATCTTTAATGTCCTAATTAGTTTGCTCCAGAACTAGGCAGTCAGATGTAGGAGCTTCTAGCCACATACAGCTATTTAACCTTAACTTTAAAAATTAAATTTTTAGGCCAGGCACAGTGGCTCACATCTATAATCCTAGCACTTTGGGAGGCTAAGAGGATTGCCTGAGCCCACGGGTTCAAGACCAGCCTGGGCAACTTGGCAAGACCTCATCTCTAGAATAAATCAAAAAATTAGCCAGGTGTGGTGGCCTGTGCCTGTAGTTCTAGCTACCTGGAAGGCTGAGGTGGAAGGATCTCCTAGGCCCAGCAGGTTGAGGCTGAGTGACCATGAGCATGTCACTGAACTCCAGCCTGGGCAACAGTGAGACTCCAACTCAAAAAAAAAAAAAAAATCCAATTCTTAGTCACACTGTTCATATTTTAAGCACTCTATGGTCACATGTAACTAGTGGTTACCATATTGGATAGCGAAGATACAGACCATTTCTAGCTTTGCAGAAATTTTTATTAGACAACAGTACTGAGCAATAGGTTAAGTGTGACTCCTTCCTTTCCCTTAAATATAATATCATTCATCTTATTTTAAGGATTATTCATTTATAGAGTCATGCATTCTTTCCTTTTAATTCTGTAGGTGCTATCTTATTCATGGGGCAGATAAACAAACCCTGAAGCGTATACAAAAGAAACCATGCAAAGACTACTTTGCCATGAAGAAAAGTCTCCTTTCCTACATCTTTCATAGTTCTGTTAAATATTTTTGTACATTGCTTTCTTTTTCAAAACTAGTTCTTAGGAACAGACTCAAGGATGTAAGCATTTCTGTTCTGGAAGGTATTCGAGGGGAAAAATTCCAGGATGGCTGAAACACCGAACTGAGGAATGAGTAGAAAGGCTTCAAAATGGCTAAAAGTTTCTTTAAACTACTGAACTGTTACCTAGGTTAACAACCCTCTTGAGTATTTGCTGTCTGTCCAGTTCAGGATTTTCGTTTTGTTTTGTTTATATGTGTGGCTTTTCAGAAGAAATCAGTGTGACAGAGAGAAAAAAAAAAGAAAGAAAGAAAAAAAGACGTTTTATGGTAGCTTTTACTTTTCTATGGAAAAAATATTATTTGCCTTTTCAATTCTTTTTTCCACCCCCATCCAAAGTCTTGATAGCAAGCATTATTTTGGGGGTCAAAATAGCAGAATCTCTAGGCTCTTTGTGTGTTTTTGTTGTTGTTTTATATGATGCATGTATTCACTAAAATAAAGTTTAAAAAACTAACGTCTTGCTAGACAAGGTTTGCTGTTGTGCAGTGTGCCTGTCACTACTGGTCTGTACTCTTTGGATTTGCATTTTTGTATTTTGTACAAAGTAAAAATAAAGTGTTATGAGTAGTAAAGATTAAAAAAAAAAAAAAGACTATTTCTCTGCTGTTTGAAAATACAACAAAAGAAACGGAGCCTTTTAAAACTATTTCAGCCTTTTCTCATAAAGCTTTGCACTTAGGCAAAGGAATTCAAAGTCCCTGGACTTTTCCTATCTTTTTCCTCTAAACCTGACAATCAAACACTATTGCCCGCTTCAACACTTCACACTTTAGAGATCACATCCAGGGGGTAACCATGAGGTAATCCTACTTCTAACTTAACTACAGTACACTCAAGCAGTGGCTAAGTACTCTCAGCAAAGATAAAGATTTTGTGGCAAGTGCAGAAGAGTTGCTTTAAGATACTTCGGAATCCTGAGGGAATAGTGAATGTTTCATTTTTGGTGATAGGCTGGAGTATTTTTTGAAATGACATTTTGTTGTTGTCGTTTCCGGATAACTTTCCAAGTTAAACTCAGATATCACAGTTCTAATGTTACCATTTGCCTGGTTTTTCCCCCCCATGAATCTCAAAGATTTGTGTAGTCTCACCTAAATCAGAATGGTTTGAAACATTATTAGAACTTAAAAACAGTTTTTTTTTCTTTTTAGCTCATGAGCTCTACTTGTCACTCTTTAGCCATATGGTAAAACCTCACACTTAACACTCCATCAATATGCCATTTGTAATCTTATTTACAAAGTGGGCTGAGCTTTGCCATTCCTAGCTATTTAAGTATGTATACTTTGACTAACCAAGAGAGAAGGGAGAATGGTTTTCCTTATTTAGGAGTATGTGTCAAAAAACTATTTTGAAGGACTGCTTCAATACACATATAATCTAGTGAATATGCTAATAGTTATTCATGCTTTTTAGAGCCATGTTACTGGGTTTTCTGCTCCCATGCAGTTTTATATATTCTGCTCCCATGCAGTTTTATATTTTGGTTACTTTAGAGATCGGGCACAGTGGCTTATGCCTGTAATCCCAACACTTTGGGAGACCAAGGCAGGAGGATCGCTTGAGGACAGGAGTTCAAGATTAGCCTGAGCAACATAGCAAGACTCTGTCTCTGCTAAAAATAATTTTTAAAAGTTAGCCAGGCATGGTGGCATGTACCTGTAGTCCTAGCTACTTGGGAGGCCGAGGTGGAAGGATCACTTGTACCCAGGAGTTTGAGGTTACAGTGAGCCATGATCACACCACTGTACAGGGTGAGATCTTGTCTCAATATTTTTAAAAATTGCTTTTAAGTAGTAATAGACTGGGCACAGTGGCTCACACATATAATCTCAGCACTTTAGGAGGCGGCAGTGAGAGGATTGCCTGAGTCCAGGGGTTTGAGACCAGTCTAGGCAAGTTGGTGAGACCTCATCTCTTCAATAAATCAAAAAGTTAGCTGGGCGTGATGGCACGCACCTGTGGTTCCAGTTACTTGGAAGGCTAAGGCAAAAGGATCACCTGAGCCCAGCAGGTTGAGGCTGCGATGGCCATGAGCATGCCATTGCTCTCTAGCCTAGACGACAAGAGTGAGACTCCTACTCAAAAATAAATAAACAGTAATAGTGTTAGGAAAATACTCACTGTATTCATTCAAGTGCTATATTGGTCAAAGAAGCCCAACTAATAGGACAGATGCAGATATATATGGTTACATGAGAACAGATTTATTATGGAACTTGACTCATGATTATAGAGGTTGAGAAGTCCCATAATAGGCTGTCTGCAGGCTAGAGAACCAGGGAAGCCAGTGTCATAGCTCAGTCCAAGTTCAAAGACCTGAGAAGCAGGGGGTCTATAGTATAACTCCTAGTCTAAGGCTGAAGGCCTGAGAACCTGGGGGCCAGTGGTACAAACCCCAGAGTCCAAAGGTGAGAGAACCTGGGGTTTTTATGTCCAAGGGTAGGAGAAGATGGGTGTCCTAGCTCCTGAAGAGTGAATTCACCTTTCTTCTGCTTTTGTTGTTCTACCTGGGCCCATTCGATTAGATGGTTACCGCCCACATTGGGTGAGGACGAACATTCCTTACTTAGTCCACTGATTCAAATGCCGATATTTTCCAAAACACCCTTACAAACATACCCAGAGGTAATGCTTTACCAGCTACCTGGGTATCCCTTAATCCACTTGAGTTGACACTTAATATTAACCATCACAAGTATCTACCAGATACCAAGTATTGGAGGGTACAGAGATAAATGTGTCCCTTTCCCACAGTAATTTAATCTTGGAAGAGAGACAATCCAAGCACAGCAAGATAGCTCACTGTTGCAAATGTATGTGTAAGATGTGGAATGAGGATAGCATGGGCAGGGGTCCAAGAGAAAAGACATAAAAGTAGCTGTAGGGCCAAGGATCCCTGGGCTCCTGACTGCAGCAGGGTTCATTCCAGAAAGGATCAGAAGCTGCCTTTCTTACCAGCCACAACGAGTGACCCTATTATGTAATACAAATGGGCTGCTCCCCAGTAGTGTATTTGTCTTATTTTGCCGGGCCTATTCAATTTTGAAGTGTCGGGTCCTGTTTCCGAGTATGTCTTTGGTTTTTAGAAGTTTTAAATATACAGAATTCAGTACTGGAAAAAGTATATTATCCAGGTTTCCAGATAAAAATAGCCTCTCTCAGTCCTCCCAGTTCATTCATCTTCACTCCTTTTTCATCAGCCAACACCCAGATTCTGATCCTGGCAGACTTTTGGGACCTGTTCATAATCTCTGGACTACAGGGAGAAGTTTCTCTCAAATTTTTAGAAAGATAATTCAACTTTTATTTTTTGATATATTCAAGTCAATGTCTGTAGGCCTTGTCTTCAAAAAGATAAAGTTTATAAAAACTCCTTTCATGAGGGAAACAGAATACATTCAAGTTATGGAGATTGCCACAAAAATTACAGGCCTGTGGTAGGTCATTTTTGCTATGTAGACATGTTTGAGCAAACAGTTTATCATACAGATTAGATGTCACACAGAGTGAGTTTGAACAGGAGACAGGCTGCAATTTTCCTAAAGTAACAAAATGGCTGGCCTATGGGAAAGCTGGGGCCAACAGCCAGTTGTTGAGTGTTATTGAGTGTTGACAGTTATGGAGATGGGTACTTTCAATTCTGCCTGAGACACAGAACAAAGAGAGTAGGCACTGACCCAGATACATCAAAAGCTCTACATTTCATTGGCCTTTAAGTCTCTGTCCTAAAAAGGAGATGATGGCAGGCGACCTGAAAAAAATCCAAATCATAAGAACTTTATAAAAAATCACAAGGAGTGGTCTTTGTACTGGTAAACTCTGTTTTTCCGAAAATGAAAAACTGAATGACACATGTCAAGGTATCTAAGAAACAGAAGAGGAATGGCAGGCACTTGCTCTGGGCCAGCAGAGTAGCAAACGCCCACATCCTAGGCTAGGACTGAACAGTAGTGACAGCTGAGGGAGAGGTAGGAGCTGGGTGGGCTGACTTCTAAGTCCTTGACTTCCTGTGAATATTAAAAGACACTGTCATTTGCCTACTGAGAGTCAACTTTGGGAGGTCAAAGAGTAGAAGACACTACTGTCTTTAGAGCCCCATTTCTTTGGAGATTTCCAAAATGAAAAGTATTTGACTCTCTCATATTAAAGGAGTTATGGACTTTGTGATTTAGATGAGAAATCTGCTAACTGAGAAATCACTGTTCTTCATCACACCAAGTACACTGCTAGTGCTTGGAGATGAAATTATTGGATTTTAGGTAGCAAAATGGATATGAAAATTTTAATTTCTTAGTGCGATGCCTCTTGCATTTGAAGTTTATAATCCCAGCTACCAAAGGTAAAGAGAAGCATGGTAGGCCTTTGTGCCTGTACTCCCTAGACCAAAAAAACAATCCTAGGAACAAGAACTGAGACCCGGTGGTGCAGCCTATCAGGAACCCCGTGAACATCACTGTCAAGTTAGTTAATTTGATGATGGTCAGCTGACTTTTTACTGTATTTTTCTTATTAACTGTATAGTCTATTGCTAAATGTCTCCTGGCCCTCTCTAACATGTTGTCTTGGTGTGAAGATGCTCACGTCAATAATTTATGTGAAGGAAATGTCATCCAAAAGCCAGGTAAATTCTTCTCTTAGAAAAAAAATCCTTCTCTGACAAAATTATGAACTTCGCAGCAACTTGGATGGATTTAGAGTCCATCATATTCAATGATCTATCACAGAAACAAAGAATGGAGTACCACATGTTCTCACTCATAAGTGGATCCTGAACATTTATCATAATACCACATAAAAGGGATTGGCAGTAGCAGGTCACTGCAGGAGAGAGGGGTTGTACACATAATACTAATACTGATCCCAAACCAGGTGAGGTGAGAACCAATGGGAGACCCAAACTTCATCTGTATGATGACCACTTATGTACCTAACCACTAATTGTACCCCACATCTTTATTTTTTTAAGCTAGTCTCACTCTATCACTCAGGCTGGAGTACAGGGGCACGTTCATGGCCACCACAGCCTTGACCTGCTGAACAATCCTTCCTCCTCAGCCTTCCAAGTAGCTGGAACCACAGGCGTGCACTACCACACCCAGCTCATTTTTGATTTATTGTAGGAACAAGATATTGCCAAGTTGCCCAGTCTGGTCTCAAATCCCTGGGCTCAGGCAATCCTCTCACTTCCGTCCATCTCTCAAAGTGCAGAGATTACAGGCGTAAGCCACCATGTCCAGCTAACCCAATTTTTAAAATAAAATAAAAAAATTAAAAGAAATAAAAAATCCTTCTCTGTCAATGACTTCATTACTCATGTCTTCTACAAAAAGATTAGAATAGAATAAACTTGGTTCATTTGCAATTTTAAAGTAAAATATCTCCAGTAAAAAGATACTGCAAAAAACCAAATAATGGAGTGCTTCCTCAATTGAAGAAGGAATAAGTTAATGTTTTTAATTTTCTCAATTGTTTTTCTCCTTGAAGTGTTTCTTAAAATTAGTCTTCTATTGTCAGTGAACATGAACGGCAGGCAGATAAATGAACAAAAACAAGTAAGTATCAGTAGAAAGCACAGACACGACCAATGCAAAACAGCTTTCTTTTTTTGGGAGCATGTATGCTTGTGATTGTGGCTTTTGGATGCATGACTTCCTGGAAAAGCTGCTTAATTTGCTAGATGGGAGTAAATCTGGTATCGTTCATGCTGTTATACAGAGAGAGCCTGACTTTGAAGTGCCCTGATACCAACCAAAGTTAAGAGCCACAGCTCTGCCTTCTAGAGGACAATGGTTGAAGGTCTTTATGAGCTGAGGTTTGAAGAGATAACCCAGGGATCAGCCTAAGGGAGAAAAAATAAAGCAGACTAAAGGATGCATCCTCGTGGGCATCCCTCAGTTGGACTATGTGGTGAGTTGGCCTTTTGATGGGAAGACTATTGACAGCTGGTTTTAGGAAATGTTGAGATGGACAAAGAATTCCCTTACCTCTGCAGGACATTTTCTCCTATTGAAAAAAAAAATGAGGATGGGCCCGGTGACCCATGCCTGTAAATTCTAGCACTTTTGAGGGCCATAGTAGGACTGCTTAAGCCCAGGAGTTCAAGACCAGTCTGGGCAACACAGTGATACCTTGTCTCTACAAAAATTAAAAAAAAAATTAGCTGGGCGTGGTGGTGCACACTTGTAGTCCCAGCTACTCAGGAAGTTGAGGTGGGAGGATGGCCTGAGCCCAGAAAGTCACGGGTGTGGTGAGCCGTGATCATGCGCCATTAATGCACTTCAGCCTGCACGAATAGAGTGAGACCCTGACAAAGAAAAAAAAAAAAGAAATGAACAGCAAGAAGGGGGGAAAAAAACCAAAGTATTTTGAAAGTTTTATTTATGGCAACCCTGCAATTTTCCCGTTTTCCAGTGAATATAAAAGAGTTCAAATGTCAAATATCCTTATCTTGGCATCAGAAGTGAATTGTTCATACATCAGATTCTTGATTTACAACATCCTCAGGGAGAAAAGGTGGGCTAGCTCCTGCAAACATATTCATATATTAGAGCCATGAGGGGCCTTGAAAAGTGTTTCACTGTGATCATAAGCCATATGCATATACAATCTTTTTTGTTTCTCTTAAATGGCATTTTGCATACTAAACTGTGCAGAAGGATGAGAACACCATCTTGTGGCCAAAATCAGTACAATGCTGAACACAAAAAGCCCCAATTTGTTCTTTCTTGGGATTAATGCAGTACCTAGTTGACTTGCTCATGACCTCACAAAACACTTTGAATAATATTTCCCACTTTATATATGCATATAATAAAAACAGTATGAATTTAAAATAATAAGGTTTATGTAATTGAATCTGTAGACATTAATCTTACATTTTTTATTATATAATTTTAGGGAACTGGAGTAGGAAAAGGCAGGAAGGGAGGTCAGAATTTCAAAGTAAATGGCTAGGATCTTTTTCTAGTGCCAACCCAAGTTCAAGTTTCAGTGCTCTTATATCCCAAAAACTTCTTTATGATGAATTAGGCAGTCAAGAAGTCCTCCAAATGGTCACTGAATTCTCTTGGTCACATGCTCCATTTGACAACACCCTTGTACCCACGTGTACCTTTAGCCCAAATATCCTACTTATACAGTGTTTTTTCTCATAGGACAAATTAAAATAGTTATCCAGAGATTGGTTCCAACTTTCAAGCTATTTAGGATGGAACTGCAAAAGTTTGTTAATTTTTCTACATTCCAGCCCATCACATTTCAGTGGTTACTTTTAAAACAGTTTAAGTTCAAAGACTTTACTTAGAAAGATGTTAAAATCACATTCTTTTTGTAAGAGATATGGACTTCTACTTGCAAAGTAGTTTTATCTAGTTTTACACATTTTTCCCATATGTAAATCCGGAAGCATTCAAGGTTTAGAAGCTTGAAAACCTAAAGGTAAGGATAGTTCCTCTCCAGTCTTGAAGTTAGTCCTGCAAATTGCCCTGAGAAGAAATTTGGGATTGCAGTATCAGCACTACTTAAGAAGTAGGGGAGAGGTGGGGGGAGGGAGTGGGAAAGGATTCCTAGAATTTACAAATGAATTGTCTAAAGACTTTCTAAATGTTTACCTAAAAAGTGTTAGAATCATATACTAGTTAGATTCTGTCATTTTACATATTCTGGATAGAGTTAAGTAGTTAGAAGATATTTCCTGTCTTTTACTTCCCAGAAACTTTCATTACATCATCTCTTCTCCGACAATGTCAATGAGGTGCTTATCTTATCATATTTACTTGTGGATGACACACACAAGTGGCATTTTACTACTGGGTTTGGTCCTCTATGCTTGTATTCAATTGTTAGGTTTAGTAATTAACTCTCCAAAAAAAAGGTGAAATGCAGTTGACCCTTGAACAATGAGGGTGTTGGGGTGCTGAACCCCTTGTAGTAAAAAATGTATATAACTTTTGACTCCTCAAAAACGTAACTATTAGCCGGGCTCAGTGGCTCAGCCTGTAATCCTGTGCCTTGGGAGGCTGAGGTGAGTGGACTGCCTGAGCCCGTGGGATCGAGACCTGCCTGGGCAACTTGGCGAGACCTCATCTCTACAATAAATCAAAAAATTAGCCAGGTGTGGTAGCGCGCGCCTGTAGTTCCAGCTACTTGGAAGGCTGAGGCAGAAGGAACGCTGAAGCCCAGCAGGTCGAGGCTGCGGTGGCCGGGAGCGGCCACTGCACTTCAATCGGGGCGACAGAGTGAGACTCCAACTCCAAAAAACAAACAAAAAAATAACTATTAATAACCTACTGTTGACTGGAAACCTTACTGGTAGCATAGCAGATTAATACATATTTTGTATATGTACTATAGTGTTCTTATAATAAAGTAAGCTAGAGAAAAGAATGTTAAGAAAATCATAAGGAAGAAAAAATATATTTACTGTTCATTAAGTAGAAGTGGATCATCATAAAGGTCTTCATCCTCATTGCCTTCACAATAAGTAGGCTGGGAAGGAGAAGGAAGAGGAGCAGTTGGTTTTGATGTGTCATGGCTGGAGGAGGGGTAAGAAAATTTGAGTTTAAATAGACCCACACAGGTTAAACCCACATTGTTCAAGGGTCAACTGTAACTTACATTTAACCTGCCAATTCAGCCAACTAGGTACTTCTCAAACATTCCCCTCCAAAAACAGTCCCTGCTTTACCTGTGACAACTGCAAACCCTTTAACATGTGACTCAGGTTCCATTTTCCTAGCCAGAAAAGTTTCCAAGGTTCTTCATCTTCCTTTACTCAAAGATCTCATAACAAAAGTGATGTTGTTTATAATGTTTCATCTCTTTCCTATCCTATTTCTTGTTAACCCCTGGGAATGACTACAGCAGACTGAAACTAAAAATTATTGTTGCTAAAAAGTTTAAAAGATATAAATCAAAGAGAATTTGCAGTTGGAGGATTACTGAACTGAACAGAGAGGATTAAAGCAACAGCAGAACAATCTCTATTAAATTAAATGTGTTCTAATACTTAAAACAGTGCTTGGTACATATTAGCTATTATTATGATTATGGAATACTAAATTGAATTGATAAATACATACTTTATTTTTCAACATTTTAAAAAAAGATTTGGGGCTGTACAATTCAGAACATTATCAACCTTTTAAGCTGGTTTTGAGTTTCAATTTCTTAAAAAAGGCAATTTCTTAAAAGCATAAAATTTACCTTTTCTGCCATTTATTTTATGAAAACTGGATAACTAAGAAACACATTAGAAGTACAAAGATAGACTCGAGAGCTCATGTAAATAGCTGTCTAGTTATAATCTTCTGTACCTTGCATTTCTCGAAGAGTTATAGCATTACTATTTTAGTTAAAATTTTATTAAAGAAGCAAAGTTAATCAACTTCCTACCATTCTTGGGTATATCAAATTTAACTACAAAGTAACATTTAGAAAAAGAGTAACTTTTTTATTGGTATTATAGCACAAAATTCACATAAGGCAAATATTCAAATTTTGATACCTCAAAGCTAACAGGGGAATGAAATACACCTAACTATACAAATTATATACAATAATAAAATCAAGAACTTTAGGAAAAACTCTTGGGAAAATGTTCCCAAAAAAGACTTGATCAAACAAAAAAAATTGAGAAAAAAACAAAAAACCTGTAACTGGTTAACACAATTAATTAAAAGAACACAGTATGAAGAGTAAGATGTGTTGCTTTACAATTCTGAAAATAACTAGCTTCAAACACTTGTGACTTCTCACTGTTTTGCTCACAAGTTTCAGGGTGCCACATCCCTGGCTGCCTAGCTGGCAGTGATGGTCTTTTTTGCTCTCAAGTTTTCTCTGGGCTTGGAGTAGTTCCAGGGCCGTCTATTTTCCGTAAATCCATAAAGTTTTCTAAGTGCCACTCGAACAGCTTCTTCTTCTGCAATCAATACTGTTTCACCAGGTCCTTCGGCAATCAACTTTTTATCACTACAAAGAAAACAAACACTTGTTAAGTTTGTGTCTTATGACACAAAGCAGTTATGCCTTCTAAATCCTATTTTAATAATAACACCCACCAGAAGTAACACAATAGCTTTAGATATCATCTTTTTTATTTTAACTAGTCTTGTTGAAAGTTCATTATAGTCATTAGATACACTTATGTTTCCATAGAAATATAAACAAGTCTCTAGGTCCAGTATTTTTTTAATTGTTGATGAGAGAGTTGAAAGATTATATAAAATCTTCTTATAAAAACCTGAAACTATAAAAATATTCTCGAGAACTACAACCAGATTATTTTAAATTCATTTTGACTGTGTGATATAACTTGAGCAAAGATTCTGCTGAAAAAAATTGAAGCTGGGCTCGGTGGCTCAGCCTGTAATCCCGCACCTTGGGAGGCTGAGGTGAGTGGATTGCCTGAGCCCACGGGTTCGAGACCCACCTGGGCAACTTGGTGAGACCGCATCTCTACAATAAATAAAAAAATTAGCTAGGCGTGGTAGTGAGCGCCTGTAATTCCAGCTACTCGGAAGGCTGAGGTGGAAGGATCACCAGAGCGCAGCAGGTAGAGGCTGCGGTGGTCGGAAGTGGCCACTGCACTCCAGTCTGGGCGACAGAGTGAGACTCCAACTCAAAAAAAAAAAAAGAAAAAAGAAAGAAAAAAATTGAGACTTTTGAATTTGTCATCTAAACTTTAATATGAATGAGAAATTAAGTCTATATTTCAAGTTAAATACTTCAGATCTTCAAAACTAGCTCAGATTAAATAATTATTTTATATATTTATTATCTACTCTAGTTTATTCTCAAAAGATGAGGAAGCAGCATAAACACTAAATGTTGACTATTAGTGTTCTACTAAAACTAGACACAACTAAAATGGGTATTCCTGATGCTCTACTGATATTTCTATTATCACAAACAAACAGTTATCTTCTTTAAAAATGTAAAAGCGTTCCTTCAAGGGAACAAAGGATGTGCACATTAAATAACTATAATCTTATTTGTTTTGCTACTTCTCAATTGTACTTAACTAATTCCTGGAAATTTCCTGAATTCCTAAAATTTCACCCATGCAATTAAAAAAATCATGTCTTTCAAAGTTTCATGCACAGAAGCTCCACTCCATAACTCTGATTCTATGTAAGTTGACTTAAAAGTGAAGACCAGAACCAAATTAAAGAAAAATGAGCAAAGCTATGCAAGTAAAAGAAATGCAACATGGAAGGAATTTGCTGAAATACACCACACCTGCTATGATAGTAATTTGAAATGAAACAAAGTTTAATTATATAAATTAACTTTATGATAATAATTAAATATATACATATCTGTACAAGGTGAGAAATAACATGGTTTTAATCAATGATGCTGAAAGTATATCACTGGCTATTTTTTTTTTTTTTTTTTTTATGAATTGTAGAGACGGGGGTGGGGGGTCTCACCAAGTTGCCCAGGCTGGTCTCAAACCCCTGAGCTCAGGCAATCCTCTCACCTTGGCTTCCCAAAGTGCTGGAATTACAGGCTTGAACCACCATACTTGGCCAACTGGCTATATTTTTTTAAATCATTATGTAAAAATCTAGAAGAACACTATTACCCAATGACAATCGCTGTAGTGTTATGACAAATCACTTCTTACATTTTTTTCTTAAATAAAAGATCACTTCCCAAATTTCCCAATGCATTTAAAAATTCTTTTAAAATGTTACCTCTATATTCCATCATGTGCATGTACCATTTCCCTCTTGTGAGATACTAAACTTATTTCTAATTTGTTAGTTCAACAACTATTTACTGACCAGTATCTCCCAGAAACTGTCCAAGGTATGAGGTAAACAGAAGTAAACAAATGAACATTTTGTTCACAAATTTGTCTGCAGTACTAAGACAGACAATCAAAAGTAGAAAGACCAAAATAAAAGGGCATGAACATTTTAAAGATTCTTGGTGTTCTGTCAAAATTACTCACAGAAATATTGTACATTACTTTTCTCTATCAGTTCTATCATCAGTGTATGAATTAATGATAAAAGATGTTTTTAAGGTTTGCCAATCTGATAAGCAAAAAAGTATCTCGTTGTTTTTGCTTTGCACTTCAATTAAAAGTGAAGATGAAACTTTTTACAATGCTACCCATTGTCTCCTTTGTGAAGTCTTCCATTGTTTTATAAAGTCTTTTGTGATACAAAAATTAGAAAAATATTTACCTAAATTTTAATCTAGCCATTTTAGATAGTAAATGTTTACATTTAAAACTTTAATATTAACAACTGAAATTAAGTTAGGATAGGTCAACTTTTTTATTAACAAAACTAAAAAGCTTCCAACGTGAGTTGATTTACATTTTGAAGAATAAGCCCTTCCTTTTCTAAGATTGAGCCATTTGAATGTCATCTAAACTTTAATACGAATGAGAAATTAAGTCTATATTTCAAGTTAAATACTTCAGATCTTCAAAACTAGCTCAGATTAAATAATTATTTTATATATTTATTATCTACTCTAGTTTATTCTCAAAAGATAGGAAGCAGCATAAACACTAAATGTTGACTATTAGTGTTCTATTAAAACTAGACACAACTAAAATGGGTATTCCCATTCCTAGGCTCAGCTGAAGCTGTTGACAAGAATCGATTAAGGTTAAATCTCTAACATGTGGAGTCAAAACATACTTTTACACAGAAAAACTCAGGTTAACACATGTCCTATGAAATTCTACAGTACATAGTTGGCTAACAAAAGCTACTATTAGCAAAACATAGATTATTTGCCTTCCCCCTCAGAATGACCAGCAAGAAAGTAAGAAAATAGATGACCATAGGAAAGAGATTTTTCAAGTCTTTTAATGCAATTAGAGGTTATGTCAAGAAATTTGAAGAGGTTATGGTAAGGAATGCTAACATTCCTTATGGAATGTGAAGAGCCTGTTTTTAAGGCTTCCAATCAAAGTTATAAAGTTAAGGTTAAAATTTCACTAACCAGTATAAGCCAACAAAATACAAAGGCAAAGCTGTGGTGCTTCCGGACTGCCTAGTAAGTCTAGATTCAGGAGGTGAAATATTCCTTTTCTTCAATTCTTCTACCAGTAGCCCCATGGGATTTATTATTGTCCACATCTCAAAGAGCTCTTTTCCAGTCATTTGGGTAATTAAGAAGTCCTGCATATAAAAATATAATTAATACATTTAAATTAGTATTAAAAAAAATTAGGACCACAATCCAAAGTACATTTTTGTACACTTTTTGAATCAGAAAAGACACAAAGTACATTTCTAACAGAAATTTCAAAGTTAATGGGAAATGAAAGACAAAATGTATTATTCTTTTTTTATTCTCACAGAATTTTTTTTTTTTTTTTTTGAGTTGTAGTCTCACTCTGTTGCCCAGACTGGAGTGCAGTGGCCACTCCTGGCCACCACAGCCTCAACCTGCTAGGCTCCAGCGAACCTTCTGCCTCAGTCTTCCAAGTAGCTGGAACTACAGGCGCGTGCTACCATGCCCAGCTAATTTTTTTGACTTATTGTAGAGATGAGGTCTCACCAAGTTGCCCAGGCGGGTCTCAAACCCCCAGGCTTAGCCAATTCACTCACCTCAACTTCCCTAAGCACAGGATTACAGGCCGAGCCTCTGAGCCCGGCTCTCACAGCATTTTTAATATAAATTTTATTACAAAAACCATAGTTGGATTAAAAAAATGTGAAAGCCTGAAAAAACTATTTCAAGCAATATGATCTATGAAAATTCCACAGAAGGTAGAATCTTATCTTATAATTTAGAATTGTATTCCTACCTCTTCACTAAAGAATTGAATTAATGAATAAACAGTATTAACTCCTGGCAGAAACTTATGTAAAAGGACACTTGGGGCCTCTAGATGACAATATATCCCCTGTTAATAATTTCTTTAAAAATCATTTAAATTATAATTTCACACAAACTGTCTTTTAAAACTATGACATATCAATACTTCTTTATAAGACTAAAAAAACTGAGAAAGAAATTAAGAACATTCAAAACAGAACTCATTTTGCCAGTAAAAAAATTTATTTTGTATAGAAACTATGGAAACAAACATTAATTCTCACAAAAATTACATATTGCAATTAACTTGTGTTAACAAACATAGCAGTATAACAAGGTAGATGAATGGGACAGGAGGGAAGAAGTTTTAAAAGATCCCTTAGTTCACAAAATATAAAGTCAATTTTATTACAACCCGTCTCCAAGTACCAGAACTCAATTTGAGTTTCACCGATAAAAAAATTTGTAAGTCCATTCTCAGGAGACTCTGAATGTTTTAATGTACAAAGATGGAGAAGTCTTATGGGACACATATGTAACATGCACATATATATGAATCAGCGAGTTGTCACCTGCCATATAGAATAACCAAATGTAGGGCAAACAAACGCAATTCTTTTCCTTGCCTAAAATATTAGTAGGAATATATAAAGAATTCTCAGTTTTTCTGGAGTGATTACCTTCCACTTTTTCCTCTTTGCTCCTGGTCTTATTAATTTGGTATTAGAACTCTCAGTAGGGTGTGAGTTGAATATTCCAATCTCATCTCCCAGAAAGGAAGGCAGTATGAAGAAGTAATGTTTCTAAACTGAACAACTGGGCCGGGTGCGGTGGCTCACACCTGTAATCCAAGCACTTTGGGAGGCCAAGGTGGGAGGATTGCTTGAGTCCAGGAGCTCAAGACCAGCCTAGGCAACATAGCGAGATTCCATCTCTACACAAAATGAAAAATAATTTAGCTCAGTGTGGTGGCACACATCTGTAGTCTCCGCTATTTGGGAGGTTGTGGTGGAAGGATCTCCTGAGCATAGGAGGTCGAGGCTATGGTGAGCCCTAATTGTACCACTGCCCTACAGCCTGGTTGAGAGTGAAACCCCAGCTCAAAAACAATGCACGTTTGATGGAAACCTCCCACTTAGAACGCCTCCAGCTATATCTGCATAAGATCATCAAATACATACTTTTTAGCATGGCTAAGAAGAGTGCTGTTCAAATTTCCAGGTGCAGAAAAACCACCTGACGAGCTAGTTATCATACAGATTCCTAGGTCCTCCTCCCAGAAATCCTGTGGTGGATGAGAATTTGGATTTTTTTTTTTTTACAAGGTCTCCATGTTGCTAATGATACTGATGTCCAAACCATTTTCTAACTACAAGATGCAATATGATCCAGTCACAGAAAATGAACCGCAGTTCCCAAGCACAAGCTCATCCCTGACACATCTTCTCAAACCGTTCTTTTCAGGGGAGAATGTCACTTATGTACAACCTTCCCTAACCTTGCTAGACAGAGTTGGTTGTTGCTCCTCTGAGTTCCTGTGCACCTTAGTATCCCTATGAAAGCACTTCCCACATTTCACTCCACCGACCTAATGAGCTGTGAGTAGGATAAAATCCTATTCGGCTCTGGCTCCAGAACTCAGCAGTAAGACCTTCAACATTAGGTGGATGAATGAATGAATAAGACAATCCAAAGTTGTCACTTCTACTATGGGAGAAATCAAAGCTCTTGACTTAGAAATAGATATCTGAATTATCTATGTTTAATAAGATCTTTAACTGGAACTGCTAACAAGGGAGAAAAATATGGTAAATATTTCCAAGTCTCATGACTGTCTTGTGGAAGTTTCAAAGAGGTGACCAAAAATTTAGACAGTTTTAAAATCCCAAACAGGCTACAGGGATAACGAGACTGCAAATCAAGGAAGATTTTGTGAGAACTTCTTTAGAAAAAGCTATCTTTAGGCCGGGCATGGTGGCTGAAGTCTGTAATTCCAGCACTTTGGGAGGCCGAGATGAGAGAGTTGCCTGAGCCCACAGGTTCAAGACCAGCATGGGCAACATGGCAAGACCTCGTCTCTACACTAAATCCAAAAAAAAATTAGCCAGGTGTGGTAGCGTTCACTTGCAGTTCCAGCTACTTGGAAGGCTGAGGCAGAAGGATTGCCTGAGCCCAGCAGGTCGACACTGGGGTGGCCATGAGCTAGCCACTGTACTCCAGCCTGGGTGAGGGTGTGAGATTCCAACTCAAAAAAAAGGAAAAAGCTATCTTTAGAGGGAAGGTAGGTAGTCTACCTATTGTAAACCCTAGCTGGGCAAGGAGGAAGACAGGTCTTAGCTAGGAACAAAATCTGAATTGTTAGTTAATATAGGTATTCTTCTCTAACAAAATTATCAAATGTATTAAAACTAAATGAATAGATTTCATCAGCATGTGATACTGGTTTAAAGAATATGACATTCAAATGTGTGAATCAAGTCTGTTATTATGACTTAAAGAGATTGTGCAGACTCTCTATAATTGAAGATTGAACAAAAAATTCCTGTTTTCATCCAATGGTAGAGAATAAAAACTCCCAGTTAATAAATTCTAAAAGGTCAGTGGGAGTCAAGTCGTATCAATTACATAAGAATTTCAATGAGCTAAGCTGTTAGCTCACACATAGTTATACATCACAGGGAGTCAGAAATTCAAGATTAGGTCACTTGGAAGAACAGAACAGCAGCTAGTACTTAAGCATTAAGTTCCTAACCACACTAGGCTACTACACAGCATTATTTGACATCATTCATTCACCAAAGATCTACTGAGTATTTATCATGCAGGCACTACCCTTGGCTCTAAGGATATAAAGCTAAAGACAGTATGGCTTGCTGTCATACAGAAATCACAACCAGAATTTAATAGCCACTTCTCAAGATGTTCTCAATAAGAGACAACTGGAATAATGAAGATACCATTAAAAAAAAATTATATATATATAAAAAAATATATATTTTAGATATAATATATATAAAATACCATTAAAATGGTAAAAAAATTATATATATAATATATATATAATTTTTTTTAATTTACCATTTTAATGGTATTTTTTAATGAAATACCATTAAAAAAAAAAACTCCCACCTTGGGAAGGTGAATCTTCTCTCTTCCTTCTCTTTCTCTCTCTAATTTACTTTTAAATAAACTTTTCTTTCTTAACCTTTAAAAAAAAAAAAGCCTTAGGTCTTTCTCAGTTTTTGTTGGTAGAAAAATTCACTTCCAAGGTGATTATATCAAATAAATGAATTACAAAAGGAAATTTTTCCTTCTGTCAACCTCAAGTATGTCCAAGCATATCCAATTAATAATTACCTACCCTGATGAAAAGTGCAGTCCTCTCAGGTCCACTGCTCTGAAGAAGGGCACCAATTACTGCAAAGAAAGTCTTTTGTAATATAGTTGGAGGGACTGGGAACTCTGCACTCAATGTTAACTGCTCCACAGCTAAGTTTCTAGCCACGTGACATACGATTTCTTCACTAGTGAGAAAGTTAACAAGACTTCTGATGCCTTCAGTGGGCATGTCTGGGTACTCGTCTTCAAGAAGTTGTGTGAGACAAGTCTGTGAAAAAGATGCCCCTTGTTCAGATAGTTCTTGATTACTTTTAAGATTCAGAAGAACTGCTTCTTTCTCTATCCCAAGTTTTTGGCGTTTGGCCTCCTCACTTTTAATATAGCAGCTATTAACAAATGCAGTTTTGAGAAGATCTAAGGAGAAGGTTTCCTGTAGTCGAGGTCCAAAGGCTAGTATTTCAGCATGGTAATCCCAGTCAGGCTTCTCTGAACTGAAAAGATATAAAGACAGTAAAAGACAGTAAAGAGAACATATTACTACTCTAAAAATTTTTCGTAGTGCTGTAATAGTATTACTTATGTAAAGGAAATGAAAAAGGTTATGTTTCCTTTTAATGTCAGGCTCTCATAGTCTAAATGTTAAAACTTTAGTCAGATGAATACTGGTAGTCCTTTGCCATATTCTACATATATGGTTGAATTAATTTTCTCTTTGACCCAACTGCCACATTAAAGTAGTTCTTCAGCATCAAAGACTAAGCCATTATCCTTTTAGGTTCCTTATGTGTGCTGTAATCATGGAACTGTGTTTTACACCTAAGAATGAAATACAAATTATAATGTTACAGATTCAGGCCATAAACACTAAGCATATTATATTTCAGTTGTCTCTCCATATCTGTGGCAGATTGGTTCCAAGACCCCCTTGAATAACAAAATCTCAAGACCCCCTTGAATAACAAAATCTATGGATGCTCAAGTCCCTTATATACCTCATTCATTTTATTGCATTGCACTTTATTGCACTTCACGGATACTGCATGTTTTACAAACAGAAGGTTTATGGCAACCCTGGATGTGGTCACTTTTTGTTTCTGTCAGCATTTTATTGGAATAAAGTATTTTTAAACTAAAACGTGTACACCGTTTTTAGACACACATAATAGACCACAATATAGTGTAAATATAACCTTTAAATGCACTGGGAAACTCAAAAATTCATGTGACTCACTTTATTATGATGGTCTGGAACAAAACTCACAATACCTCTGAGTTATGCCTGTGCTTGCGCATGACATTTGGAGCTATAAAAACTTGCCTCTCTTTCTGCTACTAACCTGCTACTAGAACAAGATGAATTAGGGCAAAATCTAAAGCTAACCTTTTAAAAATTTTACTTTAGATAGTAGATTTCTCGATGTAGATTATTTTTTCTCCCAAATTCACAATGCTGTGGAGTGCTTTCTTCCCTCTTATCCGAATTATCAGGCCATTACAAATCGGGAGCTATGACACCCAAGCCCACGTAAGGATTACCATCCTGGTGGCCCCATTTGCAGAAGACAGCATTCTACACTGGAGTTCTGAAGCGTCGGGGGCCACCCGGCGCTCTCGCGCTCTCGACACAAATCCATTTCCTTTGGCTCGGCCCACCCGTCCACATCCCACAGATGTCTCTACTGAAAACCTCCTAAGGCTCAAGCCAGGCGTGCATCCACAGGCGGTGCGAAGCAGTGGGGAGAAGGCCCAGTGACCAGACCACCATCCCGACGCCCCGCGAAGCGTCTCCTACCGGCGCATGGGCGGCGGCGGGCACCGGAGTAGGCGCCGCCGCTCCAACTCCTTCTGGAAGCGGAAAGCGGCGCGGAGGCCCTTCTTCACTCCCCGCACTGGCGGGCCGAGCGTGGGGGCGGCCGGAGCCAGGAGGCAGCGAGGCCCCTGCTGGAGTAGCCTCACCAGTCCGGACGCCATCACACAACAGAACGCACCGGAGGAAGGAAGGAAAACAGTCGGGCCGGTGTAGCTGAAACACACGTCCCCGGACTTGGGCGAGCGGAGAGAGGGCGTGGCCGATGACAGCACCTGGGGGCGGGGCGACACGGCTGCGCTGTCACTGCGCAGGCGTTGGTTCTTTCCACCTTGGGGTTACTCTCAGGTGAGCCAAGCTCGAGGGACGTTGAGTCCAGAAATTTCTGGGAGAAGCTGCTTCACTCTGGCAATTGCTCTTTTGTTCCTTTTTTTCTCGTTAAAGCAAAACAAAAAATCTGTTTCGCTTTCAGGTTAAAGAAAACCCTCACATTCTCAAAAGAAGAAAACATTTTCTATTTCTATTTAGTTTTAGAATTCCAGACCACCAATCTGGCCGCTATTTGAGCAGATATTTAACAGGCTTTTACTTTTGGCCAGCACGTCTCCAAAAGCCTGACTTTCAGAAGCCCTCGACTCAGAAGTGTTGCCTTATCCAAATTTAATTTTTTTTATTTAAGAGCAATCTTACAGTACATTTTTTAAAACATCGGAAGAGGCCAGGAGAAAACAGATCAAAACAGTAACAGTGGAATTATAGGTTTTTTCCTTATATATAATATAATTATATTTTATATATGTAATATATATTATAATTATATTGCTTTCCTACCAAGCTTCCTACAGTATAATTTTTAAAAGATCTTATATTAAATAACAAAAGGAAATTTGTCTAAATTCCCAATTTTGAGTTCCTGTTGAACATCTAAACCCTCAAAGAGACAATGCTTTCTGTGGTCTCTCTACTTGTTACGTATATCAGTGTCTTCTGCAGTCACTCAGTTTGGACACCTATGTCTTTGATTGTTCCTGTTTTCACAAACTCCCTCTTTTGTTCAGGTACCAAGTACTTTTTCAATTTATTTCCACATTAGGCACCTGATGGCTCTTTCTACCTCTTTCCCTGGTTATTGTAATTGGCCTCCAAACAAGTCTTTCCTCCCTTTCCCAGACATAGTTCACCTCCATCCACCTTGCTGAAGCACAGACAAAACATATTACAACTTAGCTTGAGAATCGTTCATACCAGGATCATACAACTCAGTCTGGGTTTCTTATCTTGACTTTTCAAGAGAAAGAATCTGAATGATTCATCTAAACTTATAAAAGGGTTCCCTTTGGGGGGAGAGAGTGCAAAAAGGTAGTTCAGCACACACCACAAGACAAGCTGATGGATGTCTAGTTGAAGCAAATTCTCTAAGAAGGGGTGAAAGGAAATTATGTTCGGGCTTTGTGTTACATTATGTAAAGTATTGAAAATTCATGGAACATCAATCAAATAAATCGAGAAACTGAAGTGACTATTGTTTTTACAATATCATTTATTGGGAGAAATATTCTAAAGCTAGTTGTAGATAATAAAATTGAAATGAGGTGTCTCTGAGTTTCTCAATAATACAGCAATGTGCACATCATTTGCAGATTTTTAAAATGGAGGATCTCAAGAGATGTCTCCCACCAAGGCACCTTATGAAACTGAGGAATTAACTGGTTTTTAAAAAGGTGTTCATACATCTGTTAATGTATTCCATAAAAACATAATAACAGTACAGCTTTGTTCTAGGAACCAGGCCCAGGAAACATTAAAAGGAAGAATGGCCACTGTGTTATTTTGGCCCTCAAGAACCCAATTTTCCTTTAACCTGCTGTTAGTGCTAATTTGATTAGAATTTGCAGATGTCAACAACTTTCTGGTTTTCAGTGGGTTACGGTCAGGTAGAAGAGGGAACAAAGTCACATTTAGGAAGAGGAAAAGGTGAGATGATGAGGGTTCACTTGATGCCAGGGATATTGCTTACATACTCCTTCAGTGATGGTGAGGACAGTTGGAACATAGAAAGAGGAAGAACAAGCCGGGTGCAGTGGCTGAAACCTGTAATCCTAGCACTTTGTGAGGCTGAGGCAAGAGTATTGCCTAAGTCCCGGGTTCGAGATCAGCCTGGACAACTTGGCGAGATCTCGTTATCTACAATAAATCAAAAAATTAGCCAGGCTTGATGGTGCATGCCTTTGGTTCCAGCTGCTTGGAAGGCTGAGGCAGAAGGATCGCCTGAGCCCAGTAGGTGGAGGCTGCAGTGGCCATAAGCGTCCACTGCACTCCAGCCTGGGTGACAGAGTGAGACTCTGATGGAAGGAAGGAAGGAAGGAAGGAAGGAAGGAAGGAAGGAAGGAAGGAAAAAAGTTAGTGATTATAGGCCCTGCTGCAATTCTGAACCATCCAAGGTTACTTACAATCTTATAGATTAGCTAAGAAACAACTACAAAATAGTGGTCTTCAATACAACTTATAAAAAATAAAGCAGACATAAATAATTGCCATAAAATGAAACTTACTATAGTTAAAAGTTTTCAAAACAAAAATTGGGGTTACTGATAAATATTGATGTAGATTTGAGTCTTCTTCACCAAAGTTACACCAATAAAACTTAGCTTTGGGGAATTTGACTTGATATAAAAACCACAAAAAGAATACTCGTGGTAGTAAAACTGATCACCAGAAAGCCTTGGAAAACCTGAGCAACAAATAAAATCTTAGATATGAAATGTATGTGGTAAGAAGATTCATGAAGCTACATGAAGTAAGCAATGTAAAATGAAAATACACTTAGAAATAGGCTACTTGTGTTATGTAGAGAACAGATCAAGAAGTTAAACTGACTTAACCAAGTTTATTCCAGAAAATACTTTCTTTAAAAAAGTATCAATGTTGGTATAATTCTGTTATAAACACTTTAATTCTTAATTATGGAAGCAAACACATTTTTGGTGTGGTAGCAACCACCAAGATATCTCCCAGTGATCCCTACCTCTTAGTATTTACACCCCTGTATATTCTCCTCCCATATTGTTCTAGGGTTGGTCTGGGTAACTAATACACTAGGTAATCAATCACTTCTGAGGTTAGGTAATAAAATACATCATAGCTTTCAATTTGGTCTGATACCTTGTATTTCTTGGATAACTCTCCCATCAAGAAGTCAGTTTCTATTTTATAATGATGCCGAAGAAGTCATGTGGAAAGACTCATGTGGTGAGTAGCTGAGGCCTCTGGCCAACGGTCATGTGACTAAGCTACCTTGGAAATGGATCCTCCAACCCCAGCCAAACCTTCAGATGACTGCCTTCTGGTCAAGACCTTGACTGCAACTTCATAAGACACCGTCAGTCAGACTTACCCAGCTAAGTTGTTCCCCAAATCCTGGGCCTTAGGAACAATAGACAATAAGTGTTTGTTGCTATATGCCACTAAGTTTTGTAGTAATATGTTATATAGCAACAGATAATATACTTGGGGTCAAATAAACTGAATGAAAAGGCAAAATTAAAAATTCACTGTATTCATGAGACTTAGAGGACAGCCTGAGTGCTGGGTCTGGATGAATGCATGAGATTTTGCTAGATGCAGAAGAGATGGAGAGGAGACAAAGCATTCCACAGAATGTACAAAACCATCAAGGTGAGAATGGTTAAAACTTTTAATACATTTGCCTCTGTAAAGTGGAAATTACCCCTACCTTTTACCTCTGTAGGTACAGATTCTCTTTCCTGTCATTAGAGATATTTTTGGAAACAAGTGTGAGAATACTGGGGTAGAAGATCTTGTGTCTCCATTTTACCACTGTTTCTTGATGTTTCTGCTCAACCGAGGCATGCTTGGATCTGAATGAAAGGAATGAATATTGTGGGAAGAGGAATAATTAAAAAGATTATTAAAATAAGCCAGGCACAGTGACTCACGCCTATAATCTTAGCACACTTTGGGAGACTGAGGAGGAAGAATGACTTTACCCCAAGAGTTCAAGGTTACAGTGAGTTATAATCATGCCACTGCATTCCTTCAGTCTGGGCAACAGAGCAAGACTCTGTCTCTAAGTGAATGAGTGAATAAATAAATACATACATAAATACATAAATGAGTAAATACTGATGATGAGAGGGAAGGTAAGATACCAGATCACTGTGACTATGACCTTGAAATTTCAAACTCTGTTTTGTTTTGCCTTTAAAAAAAAAAATCATTGTAAAAAATAGTCTGAGCTTTTTGCAGTGTGATTATTATGCTGGCCTGCTGTGTAAGTCTTGGGTAAAATCCAGAGAGTAATTTAAAAGCACTCCTGGCAAAACTACTAAACAAGAGCACCAAGTCTTCTTTCTTCTCTGGGATGAAACCATGTCTCTAGATCTTTTGGCAATGACTAAGGAGATGAAGCTTGTCCAAAAACAAAAAAGCCACTGTAGATTCCATTTTCTGTCTATTCCACAGAGGTAACCTGTTTTGAACCAATAAACATTAATTAGCAACAACTGCTGAAAGGTGCTGATAATTTTTTTAAGTATTTCCTCTTGATTAGAGTTAACCAGACTATAGCCATTAAAAGTTATATTCCCTGTGTGAGGAAGGCGTCCACCTGACCTCAACACAGCTTGGGCATTCAACTCTGATCTGCATCCAACTCCTGCCATCCAGCCCAGAAGGAATGTCAGACTGCCTCCCCTGCGTTGCCTGGGCCCGAGTCTTAATATAAAGTTTTTTTGAGTCAGGGTCTCACTCTATCCCAGGCTGGAGTGAAGTGCCAGGATCGCCTCACCACTGCTTGCACCTCAATGGCTTAGGCGATCCTCACGTTTCTGCCTCCTGTAGTTGGGACTACAGGCATACCGCATCATACCCAGCTAATGTTATGCCTTGGAGGCACAGGGTCTTCACGTGTTCCCAGGCTACTCACAGACTTCTGGGGCCCAGCAATCCTGCCTCGGCCTCCCAAAGTGCTGGGATGACTGGCATAAGCCACTTAGTTTAGACAACTTTCTTGTGTCCTGATCTGGCCTTTGGCACTTAGCTACACTTTGGACCTCACTAGCCAAGCAAGAAGGGAAACAGCATCCCGACTAGTATAAAGCACTCTTGATGCCTAGACATTTTCACCAGCAGCCAGCCTGTAAACTGTTGTAGTCTCTTGCTAACCAGGATTTGGGGTTTGACTTTTCCTCTTCATCTGTTAACTATCCTT